TTAGGGAGGGATCCGGTCTTCATATAGGTTGACTTGGTTTACATAGAGTTTATTCTCTTAATAAATGTAATCATGATTTGAAATGATTGGCAGAAGATCAGATCAGTCTGTCTAAAGATTAGCTGGAGGAACTATTCTATAACCCATTGAGAAAGTAAATCTTTACAAAATATTAAGCTAAACAATATTTTGCTGAACAGTCTAATTAACTGATATTGGTCTGAAGGTTATCTATGTGAGATCAGACCTCATATAAAGCTCTTAAATGAATATGTTTGATATTAGGAGACTGGACACATTTGGAGATAATTTGTGTAAAGAATTACATTTCAAATTCTGTGTCTGTTTTTCACGGTCTTTAAGATTTCTGTTTGGACTATATTACTTATTTTAATTTGACCAATTTTTTCATTTTTTTATGATAACACAACATATCAATAAAAATAGGCTTCTCTACTGATTTTAACATTAGGTTGATCTGTTTTTAAGTCCAAGAAGTCTTTAATCGTGTCCCTCAATCATTTTCACTGAATTTCCTTTAATGCCCAAAGGCAGAAAGTCGTAGGTTTGAATCCCAGTCTGAAACTTTCTGTATTGAGCTTCCATGTTCTGTGTTGATGTGTGGGTCTCTCTGGGTACTCCGGCTTCCTCCTCCAGTCTAAAACCATAACAGGTTAATTAATCTTTTTGAAATTGTCCTGAGGTATGATTTGTATTATTAGTACCAAGATTGTCTGAAATGACCAATGACCACTACAGATAGGCACCCAAACACCACAACCCTGCAACGCTATGTGGCTGTCCAGAATGGATGGATTGTTTTTCTTCTCCTTAATGTTTTTTTCTAAAGAAAATGTCACATCTTGTGGTGTAAAAGACTGTTTCAGGAGTTTTTTTTTTGCTGGAGCGCTGACCACTTCACACTCAGCTGTGTAACCTAGAGCCTAGAGTTGTACAGCATCTGATGATCGCTATAGCTTTAAACAGGATAACAAAATGCTCACAAAAGGCATCCAGCTTCATCAATCCTCTGTGAAAATAGTAAATGCAGAAGAGTTGCAGCTTTTCATGCTGATTCAATCTGACAGAATTTAAATCTCCTGACCTGAGGGATCATTTTTATGGGCTCAGTCTGCGGCATGCAGATGGGTGGAGGGTCCTTTGTGTGGTAGATTGTGATGCATCTGAGAGCTGTGTGGGTTTTTCTTTGTATTTGTTTATGTTTGATGATGGAGCAGTAAAGGGCAGAAAGCCCTCCTAGACAAAATGAGCAAGCAGCCTTCATCTTCTTATCAGGAGCCCTATCTCTCTTCATCTGCAGTTGTTTTCTTTTCCAACACAAAGAGAAGGGAAGCTCTACAGAATAAAGGGGATTTCTTTTTATGGTTCTCATCACTGACAAATAATACTTTGTACCTCTACATCTAAAGGAAACTGATAGTCACATTGCTCAATCACTCACTTTCCAGTGCACACAAACACATACACGCACACAGCTTTGTTTTCATGACATATGGGGACAGTTCATTGACGTGCATTCATTTTATATAGCCTAACCCAGACCCTTACCCTTACCCTAACCCTAACTATTACCAAGATGTACCTAATCCTAACCTAAACTGAATTCACACCTTAGTCCTAAACCTAACCCCAACTCAAAGAAAAGAACTTTACCATATAGGGACCAGTTGAATGTCCCTATATGTACCTGTAAGTCCTCGCATGTAGGATATTTTTCAAAATACTTCCCTGACATTGTAGGTAAAACAAGACCACACACACACACACATACTCGTTCTGCCATCGTAGTGAGGACCATGTGTTGACTCCCATTGACTTTCTTTGATTTTTAGTCATTTACAACCCTTTCTATGCCCTAACCCTAAAACTAACCATTACGAATGCATACCTCACCCTAACCCTAACCCAATTGAGACCTTAGCCCTAAACCCATCCAACAGCAAAATAGCATGTAAGTAGTGGCAAAATATCCTCACTTTGCAACAACTGGTCCTAAATTGGACTGTGAAATTGAAAAAATGGTCCAAACTCTGAGGGCTAGACAGGTACACCCACACACACGCACACTCACCCCTTCACACATAGAGACTCCAGCCCTCTGGCTTTTCTCGATGACTTCATGCTAGGTCAGAATTGCCCCACACTTGAATGCATTTCCATCATGTTTTCCCTGATGTCCGCCCATCATGCTTCAGTGTCTGCTCATACATACTGTCAGTGGCGTATGTATTCACTGCAGTACCCACAGACATCAGTGTTCATGTTTCATGCATGAATGCATAAGATTTTTACTTGTGTGGCGGGCGAAGGAAGTGTATTTCAGTTTGTGCATTGCATTTCTCTGTTAGGATGAGCTTGAGCAGGCAGAGTTGGAGCAGGCAGGAGTTAAAAAGGCTTCTGGATGCAAATGAGGGGTTTGGGGGGGATTGGATGTGGAAGGAGTTGGGCTTTGGTCTTGAGACCCCCTTATAGTCTCAGATGTCTCAGGGCCTGAGCCTGAGAGCCACATACCCTTTTCTGGGTAAACATCCTCACTAGTGGTGAATCTCACCCCCTTCCCGCCGAACACTGGCCCACAGACGGGGCAGGAGGAGGAGAAAGGAGAGAAACGCAGAAATAAAAGGTTTACAGGGATTCAAGTTCAGAAGAGTTATAACAACAGACCAACATGTTTTAGCATTTTTATGACAAAGAAGAGTCAAACTGTGGTATTTTGCTTACTGATAGTTTATTTTCTATTTTATGTAGCATTGTGCAGACCTTTTGTCATAGCTTAGACGATTAAAGACATTTCTGTAAAATATTCCTTAGCGTGCCCAAAGTGCTGGACGACATTTCGCTGAGTTAATGCTAATTGTTTTAACTAGCACCCCTAAGACCAGTCCTGAGGGACAGCATGACAGCTTCCACACTGACAAGGGCAGCAGGGCAGGACTGAGCACCAAAATAGGGAGAGATTAGAGGCGGTGTAACTATATCAAATCAGAGTAGTTTTAGCTTTGCCTGTGGTTTGGTAACCAAAGAGCTCAGAATAGTTCAGAATAGCCAATCTCTGTTATCTTTATATACACAGGATGCACAACATGTTTAACTGGGAGACATTCAATGACAGCAGACATCTAAGAATAGGGACTAATTGAAAAAACCCTGAATTCATATCTTAAAATTACTCACATCAGAACCACAAACTTTAAGGAATTTTTTTGGAAGTTGTGCATCCTTTAACCTAAAGCATAGTTTTGAAATATCTTTTTAAAACTAAAAATCTGAAAAGATTAACAGATGGATTCTTCTCTTAACTGATCCAAACTGTAGCTCTGGCTGTAAGTTTGGGGTTGCAGTCTTGAACCTCTGCTCATTACAGTTCCTTAAACCATTTCCCTCTATTTGCTACATCTATGTTTCAATAAACTGATTTCCCTGTCCCTGCTGAACCAAAGCATTCCCACAGCATAATACTGCCATCTACATGTTTCACCATGGGAACAATGTTTTTAGGGTTATGTGCAGTGTTAGCTTTCTGCCACCCAATTTTTGTTAAAAGGGCCAAACAGTTAGATTTTGCCATCTTCTGATTTCAGCACTGTCTTCCGAAGACAGTTTTGACTCTCTGGACACTCCCATAAAGACCATGATGGTGTCATGCCAACACTCTGAGACGTGACACAATCATATTCAAGGGGAATAAATGCTGCTGGCAGACAACAAACATCCACCAATTAGAAAATAATCAAAAGTAGACAAAAACAAACAGTTAGTTTACCTTGGGCGTGCTGGGACTGGACAAAAGTCTTAATGAGTTTGTCAGTGGCCTGAGTGTAGAGGGACAGAGCATAGTGGAGAGATTGGAGGTCAGGACTTTTCTCCAGGAAAGTCTTCTTCAGACCCACACCTCCAGCATGGAAGTATTGCTATCAGAAAGAAAGAAATCAGAAAAGGATGATTTCTATTTTAAATTCAGGCAGTTAACCAATGTAAAGTATGCCAAATGTTCTGCACCAAAGTTGCACTATTATTTACTCCTAACCCTCCTGTCTGATGGGATTTCAAAATCTAATACTGAAATGCCAATTTTACTTGGAATACATATTTAATTATTATTCATTTTCATTCTTATTTTCTTCAACCCAAGTTTTTTTGTCTCTCATATTTATAAAAAAAAAAAAAAACAAAAAAAAAAACATTGGCTAAAACTTGAAAAGTTTTGCTACATGAAAAAAAATCTTGAGAACAGGTTGGGAATGTCACATGAGACAGAACCAACCCTCATTTTAGATTAAATATCTTAAGCTGTTTTTAAAATCAGATTTTTCCTTTTTAAATTCAGAATACAAATATGAATGTGAAATATTCCTAGTGACACGTTACATGAGAAAGTTCATAAACAAAAGTCAGACTACTTTTATGATGGGTTAGGGCTCATAGGAGGGAGAAGGGAAATGAGCATGAAGCCAATAGTCCATGATAGAAACCAAGTTTCTCTTTTTACATTTATTGCGTAAAACAAACACCTAATAACATTACATCAAAGTTGCATACATAATTGTTTCTTTTTAATGATGATAAATTTGGAAATATATCAATTTATCTAACAATCTGCTGAGTTTTTGGCAAAAAAACTGGATCTAAAGCAACAAAAAACAGATATAAAGTGTTACTATCTGCAGGACTTGATTGAAGTGTGTGAGCCGGCAAGTATTTAGTTCAACATACTGTCAAATAGATTCAGAAATAAAGCGAATAATACTTGCAAACACTTGCCATTTGGGTTTTGTTCCTTGATAAACATTTTTTTTTTAATAGGATGTAGCGGATTTGTACGAATAAAGAAAAAATGTAAACCATCCATTATAACGTAAACATATGTATTTAGCCAGGTTTACACTCCAGTTGCTTATAAGGATGAAGCTTAGGATGAAAATATCTGATATCCTAAGGATAAATTCTACAGTAGTGGATCTCAGAACATTTACCTTGATGGTGTCCAGAGCCAACTCAATCACAGCACACTGTTTGGGTGATAATGCTTTGGCCTCCTCTCGAACCATGTGCTCCTAAATGGTAACAATTGGAATGGAACAAAGCAAAATTAATAATTTCTCTGATAATAAATTGTTTTATGTAACAACAGATTAAATTCATAAGTTGAAGCAGTGGTGTCACACTCCCAGGTATAAATTCACTGCACCTTCAGTTTGGACAGCTGTCCAAGCTCCTTGGCTGCATTGAAGATGAGCTGAGTGCCCTGAAAGAGATGTAGGAATAGGAGGGCAAGGTAGAAAGGTAGATAATTAAAACAAGAGTCATTTAGTTATCACGAGAAAGCAGCACTTATTGGGCTTAGTCTCACACAGAGGACAGCAATGCTTCTGACACAAACGCACTTACACTATAAACATTCACTCTAAGCGGCTTTACTCATGTCACGGCAGTTTCCTTCAAGTGCTTCTATAACACTTATCTGTGATTTATTCATTCCACAACATTACACTTTGCTGCACAAACACACACAGACATCTCAGTACTCAAAGGAGGAGGAGGAAACAAAGACAAAATCTCACAGAGACACACACACACTGTCAAAGAGCAGCTGTACAGTTAAACTGTGGCGTGAGTAAAAACCATTAATGCATTACTCTGGTAGAGGCCCCACCCTCTAATCGTTGTTTCTAACTGCTTTAAAAGCTTGATGTTAAGATGCAACAGACTGATCTTAGGAGGCTTTTTTTGTCTGATATTCCCAATTAAAGCAATAATGGTTTGCATAATGCCTGAGAGGAATTCACTCTTCTTCTATATTGTCAAACATTAAAATAATATTTGTCTTGTTGCAGCCGCTGGTTCAATAAAGCTTTATTACTTTTGAGTTAAACAAATAATCATATATTTAATGTACTTATCATTGCTTATTTCACTGAGATGCTGGTGTGGACTGAAAAAACACAGCTTCATAAAAAAAACATCACTATTGCCATTAAAAGTCCCATCATTTCTCCCTTATATTTCTTTATCTTAATTGAATAATGAACTATTTTCTTTGCATTTAAGGCAGATTTTCATGACAACTAATTCTGATTATTGAGCATTCCTTTATAACATTGCTTTACTTGATTTTAGAGAAACCACACACTTTTTCTTGCTCCTAACAAGTTTCTGAAATACTCTAGGAAGGAGATTTGAACATTCTCCTCAGTAGAATTGAAAGTTTATATGAACTAGTTGGTTCCTGGTGATTAATTTAGTCTTTAATTTTATCCCATAGATTTTCAAAAGGAATGAGGTCAAGGCCTCATAGAAGCCTAAAGCAATCCTGCTCTATCCACTCCTACACCAGCAGTGATGGAAGGCTGCTATCCTTTTAGAATACCTATGAATTTTAATGTTTTAACCATTTGAACACTGATTTGAGATGTATTTGAAACATTTCTAGGTCGCCTTCCTTTATTATTCCATCGTTTTCTTCTGTATTATATTGTGACAAATTTAAGGCTGCTATGTATGCATATATTATCAACCTGCATTTAATAGTGTAACCCTCTGTAGAACAGAAGAAATATACACACTGATGTTTACTGGGTAAAAATCCAAATCCAAAAAAAATATGACATAAATAAATATATGAAAAACAAAAAAAAAAATACGGCATAAAGTCACTTGCACAGAGGTCTGTGACTTAGAGGGGGAGAACACAGTCTAATAATGATGTCATACCGTTATATATATATAAAAAAAAAAAAATAATACCCAAAACAAGTTGCGAGCAAAATAAAAAGTAGAGAAACAAAATGTATATTTCTACAGCTTTGTTTGACTGAGGAGCTGAGAGACAGAGACACAGATAAAGGACATAAAGGAGAGAGACAAGACACATTGATCTGAATGGGTTTAGTCCTTACATCACTGTGAGAAGCACTCTTCAGCCTCCCCTGGAAAGAGAGTAGTGGTTAATACTTGGAGCAAAGCCCAGTCCCTGTTGTCTTATTTCCTAAATGAGAGGTATTCAGTGTTGCTTTGCAAAATGTTCAAAGGACACTCATCGCAGCCAGAGATGTTGCCTTTTTCAGGAAGTGATATTTTGCTCTCTAAAGCAACAACACATTTTGGGTTCTTAAATGACACAGAAATTATTCATATTTGACTCTTAGCCTAGAGGAATAGCTGTACAACAAGAATACCAGGATTTATACAAATATGCAGGTATGCATATTTTTTGAACTCCACATTTAATAGTAAAACAAAATGTATTGGATCTATAACATCTTACACCTTTATTCTCACTTAAAACAGCTAAAATATCCAACATCAGCCCATGATTAAATATATTTTACTTGTTATTCAAGGGTGGTTTGCACTGTTTAAAATATCAACATATAGTTTGTTATGCTCTTGATTTTTGTAGTGAGAGTGAACCTCATCTAAGGCCTTCAGAAAGAAGGCTGCAGGAGGCAGAGTCTGGTAAGAGAATATAGCTGGATCAAAATATTTTCAAAATAGCCTACAAGCAGAGGTGGGTAGTAACTACTTATATTTACTCAATTGCATTTATTTGAGTGGTTTTACTGCATTGATATTTTTACTTTTACTTGAGAAACATGATAAAATATCACCACTTTTAAAGGAGTAACATTTCTGGTTACTCTAGTAATTATAAGTAGCTTAACTTCATGAAAACAAGCTGGTTTAAAAAAAAATATGCATCATGAGAGACACAATTTCTTCCTTTTTGCACTAAAGGCTTATGGGTTAAATAGTATATTTCATCTGCTGAGTCTGACGAGTCATTTGAAGATTGAGTGAAAATAAAGTAAACAGTGTTCTGTAATTTAACATATTCTTACCTAGTGTAACTATTGAATTTGAAAGTTTTTTAAGTCAAGAAGAGTGAATTTATAGTGTTAATCACACCTAAAATTGTTATTGTGTAATTATTGTAAGTTATATGTTTATTTCTTATTCTTTGAAGCACCAGAATTTGCATTTCATTTAATATTTTGTTACATTTTACTTCATTTAATAAAATATTACATCAGTAGTTATGATCATGGTTAGTCAGTAGATCAATTACTCTGTACTTGAGTAGTCTTTCTACCAAGTACTTTTTTACTCTTACTTGAGTGATTTCATCAAAGGCTACTTTTTACTTTTACTTGAGTAAAAACATGATGAAGCAGTGCTAGCCTTTCTCAAGTACATATGTTGGGTATGCTCTACCCACCTCTGCCTATAAGTAAAGGAAATTCAAAGCAATTGCCAACATCCCCAGATGTGACAGATTTCCCCAGGAGAAGACCACAAGATGCTGAAAGAGGTCTTCAAAAGCCTGACTGCTTTACATGACTAAGGCTTTCATTTTACATCATAGGCCTTAAGGAGGAAAGTTGGATGGCCAGTGAAACAATGCATTAGGTTGGAGTTCCTTCGATTAAATTGGTGGTACGGTAGAATCAATTAAGGGAATGCATGGTGGTGCAGTTACAAGCACTGCCTTACAGATTAGGTCCCATTCAAATCTAAAGCAGGACCTTTCTGCAAAGAGTTGCATGTTCCAGCTGTCCATGCCTGGGTTCTCTGCTGGTATTCTGCCTTACTGCCACGTGTCAGAAAATATGCAGAATAGGTCAGTTGGTCACCCTTTAGAATGTGCAAATGCATGCACAATATCCTGGTCCTCTGAGTGTCTGTGTTCCCCAGTGATGGACTGGCAACTTGCCCTAGATGTACATCACCTTTTCGAGGTGTATGAAACAATTAGAGTTTAACTACATATAAAATGGAATAAACTGAATTTAGTGAAAATGCTAAAGTTAAAGGTTGAGGTAGGCCAACTTATTTTTGCATTCCAGGTTAACTGTGTAAATTCTTCTTGGTGAGTTATGTTATTCCTCAGTGGACTGCAAAAATGTATTAGAACTCAATGCGGAAACTCTTAGACAAGCCATTACTTTATAAATATGTAACACTAAAAATGTTCTTCTTGTCTAAACACTTTCATTTTGGCTATTTGGCTATTAGACTATACACAGAAATAGGTCATGTGGAATAATGTGCAAGGTGAAAGCTAAAACAAAAATGGCATGAAGCCGGTTCGTGAAAACTTAAGCCATTTCAAATGGATTTTTTTTTAATGAAGTGACATTTAGTGTGTCAGTACTGTATATAGCACCACATTGTTACAACAGAACATGAAACTAAACCAGGACGGTCCAACATGACAGGTCTGCCGAGACACACAGTGTGGTACGGTGTTGTACAGCATACCGAGAGAAGACTGCAGAGTAAAATAGATCAGATGCAAGCAACAAACCCACAGTAACGAATAGGAGGGCAGGACAAAGTTTAAACGGGTAAACGAGATAGAGGACAAAGGAAAAGAGGGCAGGTGAGGGGGTTGAGAGTCCCAATACCAAGCCACCAAGATCAGGGTCACTCCAATGAAGTCCCATTAGCAGGAAACATTTAATGAGAAGAAACAAGGCAACACCTGGCGAATAAGAGAAGTACCACTTCCTGTTTGGGGATGAAGAGAAAGCAGAGAAGGGGGTACTGATAGATGAAGATCACTAAGGGGGGGGAAGGACCTCTAAAACTTATTCAGGAATGCACCATGCTTCTGTCCTCTCAAACAAGAGAGAGTTAGAGGAAAAGTGAGAGACAGAGCAGGTCGGAGCAGTGACATCGTGAGAAGGGGGGTAATGGAGCTACATAAAAACGGGAGGAACAGGTGGCAGCCACATAAAGCAGAGAGTCGACCACTGTGACAGACAGACGGACATGAAGGAGTGCTGTACTTACAATCATCTGTGGAGGGAGAGCGGAGCAGGATGTAATAATAACCACAACAACAACCAGAAAGAAGGGTCAGTCAAGCGGCAAAGAGCCCCACATCAGGCAAAAGCACATGTTTGGGCTCCAAGGCTGAAGGTATGTGGACTAGTTCACACCTGCATGGGGTCTGAACTGAGTGCAGGTAAATACTAATGAAGCAGCCAAAAATAATTGGTAACACTTTCATGTAAAAACATGTAAATAACAGCAAGTTACACTATATTACTAGGTAACACTTTATGGTGAATTTTAGTAAGTGCTGGGCCTCAAATTTTAGGCAGACAAGGTAAAGTCAGCCTTCTTAGATGTCAAACCAATATTTACAGGAAAATAATTTCACTGACACCAATAAATTAAAGTGTTATCATGTAGTAAAATGGAGTTTATTACTTGGAATATAACAGAAAACCAAACCTGGAATACAGCAAGCCAATCTTCTTAAATAAACTATCTATATCTAACTTTAATTCAGTTTTATAATGCTTTAATTGCCTGATCACAAGTTACAAGTTACTTTGTAAGCTGTTGGTAGGTGGTGGCCAATAATAAAAAATGTTATGTGGTAACCTTACAGTATGTTAATTACCCACCAAAAGTATCCATTGTTACATAGTAACATACAACTTTAATAATTACATGCAGGTAATTACCTGCATATATACCTTAATTTGGGGTAAAACCAAATAAAGTTTTTCCCGTTACCTAGTGATATAGTGCGACTTGCTATGTTATAAACATGTTATTACATGGTTATTGATGTACTGTAAAATAAAGTGTTACTAAATAATTTACTATTTACAGCATTACTTAGCAAATGCAACTATTAATTTAGCCTATTTTCACATATTTTTTAATTTCAATGAACTCAGATTGAAAACCTTCAGAACAAAAGTATTCATACCCCCTAAACTTTTCACATTTGTCACCTTAATCCTCAGCATATCTTCTGGACACCCTTTGTGGTTGTAAAGGTGTATTACAGTAAAACACTACATGCCTCCCAAACATTTACATAAATAAAGTCTTTAAAACAGGCAAGTATTGCTTTTTTTTTACACCCCATCCCAAAAGTCAATACATTTTACGACTCGTGAAGTTGGACCGGTTAGAAGAGCGAGGTGAGCGAGAACGCTGGGAAACTTTTTCCATCTAGACCCCCCTCGCAGAAACGTGCCCCCACTTCCTCACCGCCTCGGCCGTATCTAGACCCACAACTAGTTCCTGATTGCCCCTCTTTCGTTGTGGTGTGGAATAACATAGTGCAAACATCACTTCAATATTGGGCATAAATCAAAAATATCTGCGATAAGCTCACTGCTCCCCGCAGCTACCTACCATAATCGCTACCTACCATAAAGCTAATAAATTATTTCCCTCAAACGTAATAATCATTTCGTTTGCAACGACTTATTACGTTTGTGGGATATTATATATAATAATGTAGCAAAGACCCCCCCCCCCATTTAAAGCGTGTATCATTCTTTTATTCCTTTTTCAATTTAAAACCCACAATGAAAATATTACTAATAACTTTTCCCCTGAATTTTGTTACATAATAGGCCTACAGAAAAATTGGAGAGCATTTCCATTATTCTTTTTTTATTGCCGTATTTAATCAAATATATATATAAAAAAGGAATAAATGCATTTCATTTTTATTTCATTTTAGAATCTTCTAGCATCTCAGCCTTCTGGACCCAAGTAGGTTGATGCTGTGTTGACAAGTTTTAATTCAATATACAAGATCAACTGTTCTGGTACAAGCTACTCTCCAATCCCAGTTAAAAAAAAAAAAATCACTATGAAGTCAGTTTTATAAAAAAAAAACAAAACAAAAAAAACATTTATAGATTGAAGAGTTGCATTTGGATGAATAAAATGTGTGTCCTTAAAGAAAGTTCTGCGAATTTCCATAATCAGCCCAACAGATGCATAATTAAATAATCCAAGAAAATAAAGGATATGTGTAAACCCATATTTAATCTATATTTAGTCTATTGTTCTTCTTTAAAACTGCTGCTTTAAAAGTGGAATAGAATAGCTTATGGTTTCAGCGGCCCTAGAGGACACGTCCTCAGCAGCACTGGGCAGAAAAAAAAACTGATGTTTTTTTTATTACTTTTGAGACCTAATTTCAGACACATAGTTAGGTTTTGATTCATTCAAATTTGGATGGGTTATCAATAAAGCTTTTTCTGTGATCTTACAAACTAAGAACACACATTTATTTCTGCTTTACACAAGAACTTTATTCCTGAGCTTTCCAGTGTCTCCATCCTGTTAGTCATTAAATACCTTTGATTAACAAACCTCTGTTGCTTTTAAAAATGGCTGCATTTATACAAACAGTGAATTAAGTTGAATTTATTCACTAATTGTGTGACTTCTGAAGGCTTTAGAGCGCCAGAGTAAATGAACTATAATAAAAATGTATGCTACTCTGATAGATTTGGTAGTTTTAATGACAGAAAAGAATTCAGGGGTATGAAAATGTTCAGAAGGAACAATATGAGCAAATTATATAACCAGTATTTGTAATACTGTGTATCATAGCTAGATATATCATCTTTATTATCAGTGATATGAGGCTCTTTAGATTATAACCCAACATAAACAACATATACAAATATATATAAAACAAAGCAAAATAAGGAGGAAGGAGGCTGCTTTCCATAATGTAAAAGCCTTTTTGGAAGTAGGCCAGATCGTCAGGGCAAACAAATTTATGTCACACTGTTGCAAAGCTCTCATAAAGCAGGTTTCTCTCCAAATATTTGTAGGGGGACACTCTGGAGAGCAGCCATGAGCTGATGCTGAAATGATATGGTGTGATCCGTTTTCCCTGAGCTCTTTAGTGAAATACTTGATTTTGAATGCTTGCATGAACATAGGTACTGGCGGCAATGTTGCATACTTTGTGACAGAGCTGAGAAGAGGACTGGGTGGCATGTAAATGCAAAGCAAAAGCAGTTTGATCTTTTGTTTACAGAAGAGCCATCTTGTACAGCAACACACACACTGCCTGTTGTTATCCACCTCTTCCCTTTACTCTGTGGTTTTGTAAGCACATGTTTGGGCAAGTGTTGTGTTAATTATGCTGCTTTTTTGATCGTAGAAACGTTCACTGTGACTTGACCTTGCAGAAAATTATTCAGCACAGCTTATTTCAGCCATTTGCAAAGAGTTTCTGAGTGTATGAGAACTTATTTACTTGTAAATGTAAAGAAGGTATCTGTCTTTGCATGCAGTGATTATTTGCCATAATAAATAAGAGTTGAGGAAATGTATCTGTAGGTTTGATATAATTCTGGCTGTGCAAATCCTACTTGTCTGAGATCTCACCGTTTGGTCTGTGAGTGGAGGCAGAACGATGGTTTTCTCCATGGTGTTCATTACCAGCTTCCACAGCTCCTTCAGCACACGTTTTAGAACAGTTTTCTCACAAATCTTAGCAAACAACGAAAGGCTGGGAAGGGAAATGGCAGAAAAGATTATCATTCTGGAACTCCTTTATAGAAACCCCATTATTAGATAGAAAAACATTTTTGTATATCTACAAATTCTATTTCGTTTCCTTCTTTAGAGTTAGTAAAAAAAAAGAAAAAAAGCCAAACTGCGTTACTTGCTGTCCAGGAACTCCATGATTGGCTGCAAAACATTGTCTGCATCTTGGGCCACACTGCTGGCGTTCCCTACATTCGACGTTCCTTTCACCTGAGCCAAGATGTCTCCCATCTGCTTCACATTTTCTTCAATATGAGGCTGGAAACTGTAAAGAAACAGATGGAGCTCTGTGTGAGATATGTACAGCAAATATTCAAGCTGTTGTGATTATTCAAATGTGCATGTGAGTAAATTCCCACCTGACAGCAAAGACCCTGCTCAGGTCATCCATTACATTGTTCAGCTTCACCTGAAGATCTTTCAGAATATCGCTGGCTTCCACACAGAGCTTCATTAAAAATACAAAAAAACAACAACATATATTTGAATGTTAATAAAAACATTAATCGGAGCTTAAATACTTAATATTTTTTACTCATTTTAAAATATGAAAACTAAAAAGGCCCAGGAAGGTCAGTGTATAAATACTGATAAAAATATTATTGATATTTTTTTAGCCAATTGTGTCATTTTGGTAAAAAGATTGAAAATCTCTTGTACATTAACATTGCCAGTCCTCAAACTTTAGTCTTTCCATAAATGTTTATAGTACATCTCTGTTACATGAAGCTCACCTTCTTCTTTGGCTAAATCAGGAAAGAAAAGACTCAGTACACATAGTCTGGTTACAGGTTTAATTACCTCCTATCCTCATTCAAGCTATTATTAAAATAAGACAGTAGATTTTGTTTGATACATATTGTCTTATCAAATGTTAAAAAAAAAAAACATGAAAAAAAGTCCTGATGTGAGAAGTCGCCCACATTAACTCTTGGATGGAGAAGTTATTTAATTCCCTTATTCGCTTTTTTGTGGCGTCCACCATTATGTTTCAAGCAGTTGAAACGTTGGTTCAGTGATATACTGGCAAATGCAAAATATTCTATTTAATTTAGTTTTAAGTATAATGTGAAAAAAAAAGATTTTTCTCTGGTTCGGCACCATAACTCTCTAGGCTGTGATGAGATATTTAGGCATGATACTTTAGTATATTAAACAAGCCTCTATAGCGCTAATCTGAAAGAGATCTGTCCTGCTGAGTGCTACCCAATTATTGTGAGCGCATTGCTTTATCTGGTGCAATGTAGAAGCCGTCATTACAGGTCCTAAAAATTAAGCAGTGTTTTATCCTGGGAACCCTGTTGTGTCAATGGTTGAGACTCCTTTTCTGAAGTAGGAAAGTAAGTTTTTGTTAAATTGCTTATGAATTTGACTAATAAAGGCAAAGAATTAAAGAAACTCAACATTTTAATACTGTTGGAGGTTAAGTTCGGCACTGGCATCTATCATCTGTCTGTCTGTCAATCATCTATCTATCTAGGCAGTTCCACCCACATGGCAGAGTTACTTACATCTTTTCCACCCATGGCTTCAAACATCTTCTCCAGCTGAACCCTTAACTGTTGGATGTTGTTAATCAGGATGCAGGGCTGGAAACAAGATTACATATGTACATATGAACAAAGACAAATTGGTTTATTTGTAATTATAAAGCAAATTACAAGCTCAAACCATAACTTACAACTTTCTCCATGGTAACATAGTTGGCAAACAACTTGGAGATGATATCAGCATAGGACAGAAGAACATTGCTGATGGTCTGCAGAGGATGCATAAAGAACACTTATTTGTATTTTTTTCTTGTTTTAAAACTAAGAATACACAGAAAGGATGGATAAATCTACCTTTGCAAATCGCTTCATGTAGTGTCCTACAATCTGTGGATCTGGACACTCTAGCTTCCTGATGATCTCGAAGCTCTGATTGAGCTGGGAGAACACGTCCACCACCGAACAGGAGAAGAGCGCATGTTCTGATGTGACCTGGAACTGCAGAGCAGCAAAAAAAGAAAAGAAAAGAAAAAGCGCAACTAAATAAAAATCATCAATAAAGTAGAAACATTTAAATCATGAATTTAAAAATGTATGACTTTGCATAGCAGGAAAAAACATGGCAAAATAATCTTCACCCAATTAGGATGGTGTTCTTTGAAGAAAAGTTGCTAAATAAAACCAGACCTTTGATGTCAGTCATCGTCTCCAACAGCTGAGACCAGACAGTTCAATAAGCCACCAGCGAACATTATTGAGAACCTGTCTGTCTCTCAATAATTGGCCGGTTAGCACTTGGACTCTAATTGGACGTTTTGTCTTGGTGTGACCAAGGGAATTCTGGGTAATGAGGTGAGGATGCCTTTCATACACTTTCAATGGTATTGCATGACTACTGTGTTTTGCTGTATCAGTATTTACTTCCTCCTCTGCAGCTGATTTGAAGCAGGGAGGAAAGGTTTGGGGCAGAAGGAAGATGTAGTTTTGAAAGATAATAACATATCTGATGCCTTACTCCATCTTTTTTGTCTCTTTCCAAAGCGCCATGCAAAAAGTCACGAGAGACTTCCTCATTTTCATCCAGCCACTGGATGACGAAAGGCTCAAACCATCTGCATAAACCAACCAGAAAATGCTTCAATATATTAGCAGCACATGTTAGCTTGAACTTTGTTTGCCAAACAGTGATACTTACGCAGGGTATTCAGGCACTCGACTCTTGAAGAAAGGAAGGTCTTTGCAGTACTCGTTGTAGAGCCACTTTACCTTAAAGTGCAGGTTCATGTAATCAGCGCTCTTACACAGGCGGTTTTTCTCATGTTCTGACAAAAAAGACATAAATCCATTAAGATGCATTCATTAAGCAATATTATTGACTAATGTCTTTCAGAGAACACTGCTATAGTCATTAGAACAGTTAAATGAATCGTTTCACAAAAGTATTAGCGGCCCAACTGATTTATTCAGTGTTTTGCATTTTGTTGTGCTTAAATCTTTCTTTTCAAACAATTGTAATCTCAGACAGAGATAAAATTTATTTAAAATGTTTTAATTTTTTAAGAGAATAAAGCTTTCCAAAGCAAAAAGACTAAACAGTCTAAACAGATTCCATTAAAACCTAATAAAACCATCATCGAGTGTTTGCAGTAACTACGAATTAGTCTTTTTTATCAATGTGGAGGAGTTTAGACTCTCCATTCTTTGAAGAAATGTTAAATCCAATCAGATTGATGGGTTTTTAGGTTGGAAAAAAGCCTGATTAGGGTCTGCCACAGTGGGCTTCTTCAAAACCTTTCTTTGGTTTCTTTATCAACTCAGTGGTACATTTCTTAGTCCCCCTTGGATCATAATCTTGCTAAAAAATAAGTGTCCCAAAGCTTAAGGTTACAAGCTGATAGGTAAACATCTAATAAACAATGTTTGGGTGTCAGTAGATGTTTTTTTGTGTCCTTTATGGTCAGCGGTGTTATTGCCTTCTTTAGCCCAGCCTCTTTCTTATGGTTTAATAACACCAATAACACTAATTTTAACTATTGGGTTACTCACTTTTCAAAGTTGTGTGTATCACCTCCATGATTCACAAGGGATGCTTGCTCTCCCAGATATTTGGTAGAGGCCCACTGTATTGTAAATGGTTTTGTAAACATTAGAAGACTAAAATATGTCTCTAACTAATTTTTATCTGTTTGTGAATTTACTTGGCTACAACTTTTTGCTTTTGATTTTATTTTTTTTAGATCTTTATACCTACTGATGTCAGATACTTCTTGATCAGCTCCCACATGGGGTCAGGTTGATTTTCATAACCTTTCTTTTTTATTATGTAATCAAACCTTTTTTTGAATATGCATTTTTTGGTTGTTTTTTTTTTTCTCTAAAATTCGCTTTGTGGTCTGAATTCAAAGGAGGTCAAAACGTTTTCTGCATAAAACATCAGGTCTCTGCAGTTTACATGCTAAAAAATGTATTTCTACTAACCTTCCATCGCGTATTTCATATCCTGAGCAAACAAATTCCACATCACTTCAGCACTTATTTTACCCACATTGAGCTCCTGGGGAAATCTTGAAGGAAGATGAGAATATTTACAAAATTAAATAAGTCAAAGGAAGCCTGGCAGCATTGATTGCTACCCGACAGAAACTGATGATCATATTGATCTGGGATTCGTTTTAGGGAAAAATGAACAAAGAGGCAAGAATAAAATATAAATACATACTGGTTTAAGCAGGGAGTGTAGGAGTTTTTGTCCTCCTCAATAATGGAAACAATAAGTGTGATGAGTTTGGACCAGAAGTCCAGGTTCTTGATACTGGGACCCTGCTCCTCTGGAGGCACAGCCCCCTGCTTAGCCTGGAAAACACCAACATTTCTTATTAAAAAAGAAAACAATTTTTATTTCTTTTATTTTTAACTTAAGCTTTTGTAAATATGACTGTTTGCAATCCCAATCTTGTCATAGATATACGTATGGTTACTATGGTTGTCAATTAGTATTACATCAGCATAAACCTTGTTTGTGAGATGCAAACCGCTCTCATTTGTCAAAATTGTACCATCCTTCTTCTTAAAAAGAAATTTGCTTTAGCGAAATATTTATTTAAAAATATTTCAGATTATCTCTCAAATTTCTAAACAACTCTGAAGGAGCCAGAAGAAATAAAGAATGCTAATTATGTCAAAAGATAAAATGCTGTGTTAATTATAGACTTTGAATTATTATATATAACATGTTTAAAATCGCAAATGTAAAAGATGGTAAAACACATAAATCTCTGCAATAAACTGCTTAAATCCAACAGCATTATCAAAGAAAGGATCGATTTTCGTTCAATTGTTTGATCTCTTGTCTGGCTTAAACCTAACCTGGACCTAAATTCCTTTACAGGTGATATTCAGTGGGACTCCATATATAAATAATGAGGGCCAATTTACAGCCATAAAAACAGGATGTAGGATTTTACAGACAGTCTTTTGAAGTAGCTTAAGATTTGTGGTTATAAAAGTAAAGCTGCGGGGTTTAAAAAGGAAAGAATTATCTTGCAGACAGTTATTTCCACAAAATACTTCCACATCCCTCAGGATGAAATGTTTTATGCAAAGGAAAATGCCTTTGAAAGTCAAAGGGAGAGCTTCAATGAACGGTTGAAAGAAGTTCTAGAAATCCCTGTTGAAATTCTCTGTAGAAATTTTGGAATGAAGAGCCTTGTGTAAACAGACTGCAGAGATGAGAGCTCAGGTCAAAGACATGAACGCAGAGCAGTGACAGTGCTTTTAACACATCAAATAAGGACAGCTTAATTGGTGGGCAAGAATGGAGTCCCAACAAGGACACATCTTTTTGTTCTTTTATGCTTCAGGGAAAAGTGCTATTTTTAATAATCACCAAGTAAACCTTCTGAATGAGCTCCAGGTTACGTGATTCAGAGGGACAAAATAAAAACTGAAACCTTAAATCTAAATCAGCCCGTCCTTGGAGCTATTAAAATCTCCACATCAGGGGTTGGAAACTGTTTCTTACGGGTTGTTGTTTTGTAAGTTTAACATGTATTTCTGTGACAAAACACCCAATTAAAATGGTTCAAATATCCCCTGTTTTGAGGTTCTGTAGGAAGAGTTTCAATTGGTTAAGTAGGAAAATACTACGAAATGCAGCATTTTGTTTAAATCTTAGAAAAAAATCAAGTAAAATACTTTATAGGTACACATATAGCAAAGGTAGGATATACATATTTATCTAAATTATTGGTTTCCTTGATACCAATGTTGTGAGAAAATGTCGATTACATAACTGGAACTACTCTGCCTGAAGACACACCCCTCTGGCGGAGCGTTTAAAAGGGGCAACCTCCTGTTGTATTCAGCGCAACTGCTATCTGTCCCTACCGTATCAGTCCCGGAAGCACGCTCCGTACTATTAGCTCATTTGCACATGCACAACCTGATATACATCCAGGTTTCAATAAATAATGTAATTATAATACTGAAGTTACTTATTTCTATCTTTATCTCACTAAAGAACGCAAATACACATCTTTATTTAATTTAACTCAATTTTTTTTATGACTTTGCTGAGACAATTTTGATGCTTTTTACATTTTCTCCATTAAACAGCTTGTCTGAAGAGTAGTACGGCAAAATATAATTAAACCATGCTAATCTGCATTTTAGATGTTTCTTTCTTTAGGTTAAGCACTATAAACTATAATGTTAACACGAAAGGAAAACATAAAATCCCAGAAGTGGCGTAGGATCCCATTTCTGATGCAGATCGGGCACAGACAAGTGATAACACAGGATTTTAAGGTTATTAGAAATAATACCGTGTGATTATTAGTTAATAAAGGTACCATTGTATTTTTAACCTGTGGTGTTTTGTGTTTATTTTACACAGTGAATTATATTTCACTCATGCCAGATTCACTCTTCTTTTAGTAGCATTGGAATGAACAGAGAGACATTTATTTGGTTGGTGATTAATAACTTTGCTTATATTCATAGTCTAAATTACTAAATTGGTGAAAGACAACTGGATTTTTAACAGCCGGATTCAGACGTCCAATCTTTTACGCAAGAAACTAAAAACCCTGATCAGTCAGCAAATTACAGTTATAATCATTCAAATGATAATAATTAGTTTTACCTTTGATTTGAATAACTTCCAGTTATATGCATTTTGTATATTCATGATCTTCCGGTAAACTTTCACATAGTAGGAAACATTTTTACACCTAAATAAGAATTCAGTTCTGTGCTGCTACTACTAACCGGATCTGTTTGGTACTCGCGGCTGTAGAGTTCATGGCAGTTATTAAAGATGTACTCGTAGGTGGAGTTGAGGCAGGCTTTTACACAATCTTTCACAACCTGACTAGCTCTTGGTGGAGACTGGAGCTCCTGAACCTGAAAGTACAAAACAAAACCCTTGATTGAGAGAACTTATCGATCATATATTGTGTACATTGAAAGCGATAAGACGAAAAAAAGAAAAAGCTAAAATAGGTAGGGACTTTACCTTCATTCTGAAGAAGGTAATACTGGTGAGAAGGTCAACTGTGGACTTGAGGTCCTGTAACCTCTCAGGGCTGCTGGCTGGAAAGTTGTTCTGCAGTCAAAGAAGAAAAAAAAAACGCCAGAAACACCTTTATTGAGTGTATCTATGGGCAGGATGCAGCACTGTCAACCAATTTTCTCTGCCAGCGAGATCTCAGCTTACAATGTGGGTGGACAGTTTTTCCTGAATGTGCCTGGACATGTTTGAGAGGAAATGTCACTCTAATTAACACAGTGGCTCTGTTTTTAGTGTTTATAAGAAAAAAATAACAAAACCATCGAAGAACAAACTGATAGACCACATAGAAGACATTGGAGAGAAATATGAGCGTGTGCCCTGACATGAAAGAGCAAGCCTACCCGATACATGGAGAGGTCTATCCTCAAAGAGTTGTGCAGCTGATCTAGAAGCTTGACGAATCGTTCTTTCTGTAGGTTAAACAGAACAAGAGGACAGATTTTCTTTGAGCAGAGGAAATATGCCTCTAGGATAATCTAGATGTAAAGTTTAAGCTACTTAATAAAAAAAAAAAAAAAAAACATACTCTAGAGGTGCATGATTTATTTTTTAATAAAACATGTATCTAAAATATCAGTCTTTAGTGGCTTACTCCAAAGTTTGAAGCTGCAAAGCGGTCAGATGCAGAAACGTTGTTGGTTGCCTGGGTGGTGTGGGCGTAATAGGCGTTGATGTTGGCCAGCAGGGTGCTCATGACTGCAGGTACTCCGGGGCACATGTATTTAGACGACAAACACGCAAAGTGGCTGCAAATAAGAAAGGAATCCATGAGAAAACGCTTGATCCTAACAACTTTGAGAACGTCCTCTTTATGCAAAGAGATATTACGTCATGGCTTGGTAGATGGACTCCACCCCATAACGCATGGCAAACTCATCCACTATTTCTTGGGGAGTCTCCTCAAAATAAACTTTCCAAGCATCGTCCCCTTTGGCATCGGGAATCTTCACCACACCAGTGTTCTGGATGTCTGTTACGTAATGAAATAGGTTCTAGAGAAAAAACAGAAAGAACAAAACAAAGTGAGAAAAAAAAAAAAAAACAATAAGAAACAGAGAAGAAAAGGAAAATATACCAAAGTACAAAGGTTCAAAATAAATGAAAAGTAATTCAATATTTTTCCCCGTCTTGTGTAATTAGGTTTCATATACATTAAACTGTAAGGTAGCATAGCGCAAGCCCTAAGCCCTTTATGCCTGTTATGATGCATTAAGTGCCATAAAACTACATTATGAGGCCAGCATAAGCTGTTGTGCAGACCATAAAACGCTAGAACACTGAAACACACTCTGAGCCAGTTTATGGGCACTTATGGGAAGCAGTAAGAATGATCATCTGTCAGTGGGCTTCACCTAATATGTTCTGCTGAGTAATGAGCCGAGTAATGACTCCAATGAAATCTTTGACTCCTCTGCAATCAATCAAGTAAGTGTTTCTACACAGAACCATAAAAGTGACTGCTATCTTTACTTTTTGGAAGAAGTACAACTTCATAAAGGAAAACAAACATTAAAGAACACTAATGTGGAACCAGTCATAAAGAGAGGTATATTATTTTTCATCATGACCATTTCATGTACACAGGCTTTACTCTCAATATATAAAATAATTTTCCTATTTTTGTTTACCTTTCCTAAAACAAGTTTAGGATTGAAAAGATTAATCATGATCGATTGCCTTTAGCAAGTGAACTGCTATTTTCACAGTGGCAAAAGTAGAATAACATTTAACCAGTATGAACAAACTATTTGGAGTGTTGGTAATTCCTGAGTTGTTGAGAAGATTTTAGACTGGAGACAAACCTTATTAAGAACTTACAGCCGAAGTCCATTCCAATATGTTTTAATTTATTTAAAGGAGTCTGAGCTACTTAACTCGATCAACTACATCCATTCTGTAATGATGTGCAAATCCTCCATATATATGGGTTCTCTACCAGCACCTTGGAGCTTGAGGCGATGGTGTATTAGCTGTTCATAAAAACGACCCTCTGCTGGAAACAGGTTAATGCTGTAGCCACTCCCCCACTTTAGGGTTTGCTGCTCAATGTGCACCAATAATCACCAATTCTATTAATGTATAAATGTTACAAAAGGGAAATTATTAATTTAGGATTACTACACTTGCATTTATATTATATTACTTTGGGGATACCATTGCAACGGGATACCATTGTGATATTGGTGGTTTTGCTTTAATAACTTAAACATAATTTGTTTTCTCATAGAACAGAAGGACTAGAGTTTGAGTTGTTGTTAAAATTTCAATAATAAATTTGCAGTTTAATAGATGACATACACTTAAAGGCATAAAATGTGGATACTAATATTCAAATAATGATGGCATTAGGTATCAGGTAGATTCAGCAACACAGCCTTATCGTGGAAATTTCAAGGGAAGAATAAAAATATTCAAAAAACACAACAAATATCTAACGTTTTTACCTCATGCAGACAGGTGTACTGTACGTGATAGGGAGCGACTGTCTCCTCTCCTTTAATCTCCACATTAATGCGCATTCTGATAGCCCCAGAAACGGCTGATTTGTCCGTACGTTTGTCTGTGAAGTGTGCAAAACAAATGGCAGCTACATCACTCAAATTCATCCTCAAATCAGTTTATCATAATGAACCTGTAGATAAGTGTTGAGTGTCGAAGAGTGCCAGCTGAACAAAAAAAGCATACCAAGATTATACCAGACGTCCATCTCTCCGCTAAGAGTCCGAACCTCGATGATTGTCTGACCAAGGAAGTCGTCAGACTCTCTCTTGAACTTCTGCTTCACACGAGACTTAATGTCATCGTCTTCATCCCACACCCGCACCTTAATGCGATCTGAGGAGTTGTGGCATTCGCTGCAAAGGCAAGACAAGAGAATAAAGCACAGATTCCAAAAATGACTCCAGCTAAATGATTTCAAGAGAAAGAATAAGCCTTTATGCATTTCATGTTTAATGAAATAAACAATTTGCTGCCTTTTAAAGATTATTGTAGACGAGATTCTGAATGAACTACCACTAAATATTTTCTCCTACAAAAGCTACACATTTTTAACATTTTTAGAGAAATATTTTGGACTCACAAATTAAATGTTTCCTCCCAGACAGGATTGAGGTTGCCGTAAATAGTTTTGGTCCTTTTTTTGGTCTTTCCCACCTGGACGGTTACATATGGATCACTAGAACCAGTTTTATCCTTGGCTTGGAGACCCTGAGCACACAACACTGAACAAAAGACAAGAAAAAAAGTCTGGCATCTTAGCTGTGTTTGCTTAGGTGTAAATGGCAGCCGCAGATGACTTTCTGCTCCACTAAACCATAAACGGCACCAGTGTTCCTCGCACACGGATGGCCGTTTGTCTCTTTTTATAGACCCAAACACCTGACATGCTTCTCCTCCTCTGACATTGATGCTGACCATATTGATCGGCTCACTTCACAGGACCCGTGCTGAGCTGTAAGTGGCCCCCCCCTCACCTGTGATGCAGATCTTGGCGGACCATTTGGAGGTGCCGTCCAGAACGCTCTGCTTGATCTGCTTCATGTGGGTGACATGGGTTGACTTGGGGACAGCAAACACTTCTTGTATGAGTTCAAAGATCTCTGGTTTGTTCCTCTCGCGGATCTTCATTCGATCTTTAAGAACCATTATGATGTTCTGGGTTCTGTCCTCTGCGCCGTGTTTGGAGCTCTTCTCTGCGGCTCCTGGTCACAGAGAAATCAGAATTAGATAAGGGGTTAGAAATAATAAATAAAATAAATTTGGTTCAATTTGGTTGTACAACTTTGATAGATTATACAATAAAATCATTGAAAGATGACTTCTACAATATCAAGAAAATAAATTTTCAACATATTTTAATTCAGGAATAAAACGACGTTTATGTATGTTAATAAGAAAAACTATTATCTTTTTTTATGAATTTAATTTTAAACTGAGCTCAAACCAATGAAATGCTGAGCAAAAACAAATGAAAAAGAGAGAGCCTAAAGACAACAAAAGACAAACTACTTTTAATATCTTTCACACACTGAACACACACCCTACTTCCCACACACAGACACAGTCAAAAAAAGGAATAGAAAGGAAGAAGGAGGAGAATGACTCCATGCTTGGCTTTGAATATTGAAGATAGAAGTAATAAATAAACTGCATGTTTTTCTGTCTTTAGATACAAAACATTCAGTCAGTGAAACTGCATTGTACACATTATTTCTCCCACCAAACACTGCATAATTTCAGCAAAATCAATGCATAGATTTCAGTTTAATGTCTAATTTTTCCAGAGAAATCCAAACAAATGTTTACATACATTCATCATTGGCAAGAAGGTGATATTATTCTGGGCTTTTTTAGTATTTTCTTGGCTCAGTTCTTAGTCTAAATTAAAACTACAGGCCAAAATATAACATTCACTGCCATTAATCTGTAACTAATTTGACTAAATTAAAATACATTATCAAAAGGCATTTTGAGATGAGGAAATTAAAGCACTATAGCACTTCTCTTACTTTGTAGACAGTCAGCATTGAGCAGGTCCTGGCACTTTTCATGGCATTTGACTCCACACTCAGTGCAGCGCATGCCTTGGCGAGCGATACCCCACAGCAGTCCTTCACACTCGTAGCAGTAAGTGGGAGTGGTGGCTGTCCACACTTCAAAATTGTGTGGGGTGGTGCAAGAGATCGGATAGATGAGGGCCTGTAGGGTCTTCTTATAGACATGACTCTTCTGCAGAACAAATGGAAAAGGTTACTGAAGGGTGGTGCATTGATGCTTCTCACTCAGGATGAGTTGTGTTTGAGCAAAGTGAAAACAGACCAGCTCTTCGTTATGCAGGGTGCTGGACGTCAGGGCTGAAGTAATCCCAGCTTTTCTGGAGTTCTGGACCAGAGACTGGAGGACAGCAAAAGTTACTTAAGCTCACAAATGAAAGGGTTTATTATTGAATTACATTAAGATACCTATTCCCTAAAATAGTATATCTTAGAGAAAGTTACTTCATTTTTCCAATTAAATGTAAATGCCTATCTCTAGACATAAATTAGCATTAAATGGCACATTGTTATACGACTTAAAAACAGTATTAATTAGTTCATTTTGGCAAATAAAAACAATTTATTTTAAAAGACAAAAACTCAGACATTTCCAATAGGTGGCACAGTGTTAGTAGGCAGATACGAAATTTTCTTCAACACAATTTAGATCAAATTAAAACAATGTGTATTTTTAGGGTGAGTAAAGCCATTAATCTTGTATATTAAGTGATGTGAAATGTAGACAAAAATGTGCCAGAGCTCTACTTCTGTACATACTTGTATAGACAGATCAATCTAATGGAAGCAAGTGAGTCATTGTTAATTTTATATATATATATATATATATATATATACCGTACTATAATCTTTCTCTTCTGTCATCTGTCAGGCCAGCCAGCTAAATTTGATATCAGCTGAGTTACATGTCATTATTTTAACTTCAAGTCGCTTGTCAAATTGCAAAAGTACACTAATGAAATGAAAATACTCACCATTGCCTGAAGTTCAGGAAAAGAAGAGAAGAGAAGGAGGAAAGAGTCAACATTAGAAACAGCAGGAAAAGAAGGGATTAATACAAAAGTGAAACAAGTGAAGCAGTGTTTATTGTAGTAGAGGGAGCAATTACATTTAATTGGACGTTTTGATTGTGAATTCATTTCCATTAACCCAATGTTTTGCTAAAAGTACATTAGTGTGCTCAGAGCAAAAATATTTCTTTCTAGAGCCTGTTTACATATCTTTTCTACCAACAGAAGTTCAGTTTTCTTTTTATTTGATATCTTCTTCATTGTGGCTCTATTCCAATGTATAAGTTGTGCATACAATGATGGTGCTCCTCTCATCAACTGGGATGTCACACGTGTTTGTTAAACCTGTTCTAAACTTTAGCACAATATGCTAATAAGGTGTTAGAGTGATCTTTCTGCTCTGTATTCATTTGCACTCAGATATCTAATTTTTACTAATTTAGTTACCAAAATGCAAGATGCTGTGACATTTAGACGGAGAGATGTGAAGGTAAGGGAACACTTGATGAAGCAGCTTTTGCAACCACAGCTGTTATTTAATAGCTCAACTTAATATTTACTGCTTATTCAGGCAGCACTCATCCATTTCCAATTAATCAGTGAAATAGCTTTCACAAAACAAAGAGTGTGTGCTTTTGTGTGTAAGAATGAGACCGTTGGGGGAACATTACGCAGGTGTGCCAACCCTGCTTGTATCTGAGATTGCTGAGTGTTATTAATAATTAAGAAAGTCATTGTTGGAAATTTTTCGCCTTCAGCACTCCATGGAAAAGACACACTAAGCTTATTATAGTGGTTAATATGTGCCTCAGTAAAGGTCTTCATAACCATTTCAATGTTTCCATATTTAGTTATTTTATGATCAGATTTCATTTTGGTTTTATGTGACAGACTAAAATTATGAAACGCATTTTTAATAAATAAATATATATATATATACAGAATCAATGATAGCAGATTTTTCTTTACGATTTACAGACATATACAATGAAAAATTGAGGTGTATTCAGATTTACTTAAGTAAAACGAAATGCTTTATAGGGTACTATAAATAGTCAGTTTACAGACAGATGGCTGATAGCAAAACATGCTAGAACTCTAAAGCAGGACTTAGTTACGGAAAAGTACCCTCTATATTTGTCATCATGAACTAATAAGTTCATAATGATGAACTAATGACTATACAACTGTACAACATCAGATTGTACAACGCCTCACTGGGGGCGAGGAGGCGACACAGGACAGAGGGAAGGAGTAGCAACACTTGTATTTTTTCTGTAAAATGTGAACTCCATATTTATCAGGACAAACCACACAGTGCAAGTGCAAACCATATTACTGGTCAATCTATCCGCCAAACTCCTATATTACATACACACAACTCCTATTATATACACTAAAATTAATCTGTATTATTTTTTGTATGTGTATTTTTGTATTTGTATGTGTATTGTTTTTGCTTAATTTTAACTTAATTTAACTTCATATTTCTCTGCCCTGTAAGCTGCTGGTAACCTCAATTTCCGGAGGGAGTCTTCCCAAGGGATCAATAAAGTAATGTCTAAGTCTAAGTCTAACTAAGTAGTTCATCATTATGGGAAATGTCTGGTTCAACTGCACACCTATAAATTTAACCTTTGGGTCTGCATGAAAAAAGAATCAAATGTGGCGGAAAATAAATGTGAACGTTAGCCTGAGCCTTTATTACCATGATGGAACATGGAGGATAGTGCAGTACTATCGGTGTGAGGATACGATCCTTTATGAGGACATCATCATCTCTTCAGGGTTGATGGCAACACTGATGGAACTAAGCACAAATCTTTGTCCCATCAACGCTTATAAAAAAGTAAAATGACAACAACAACTAAAACATTTGGAGACTTTAAATTTGTTAAAACCAAGGTAGTAGTTAATCTTTAATGACCATAATGTTATACAGCCAGTGCTACAGTTGGTGTTAGGATATCCATGTAAAGCCCTAAATCAAATGGACAACATTTGGTCAAACTAGAAAAGTGAGCTGAACAGATGCACTTTAACAATCTGAGGAGAGCATGGACTGTTTTGCAAATAGGAAAGGGTAAAATTATTAGTATTTACATGTGTAAGCTAGGTGACCCCCATTCAATAAATAAATAAATAAAACTGCTACTTGAATTGCAGTGCAAACGTGCTGTTTCTGTCTACCATGTAAAATACCAAAAAAAAAATACACAGAATTTAGCAGTTAATAATTAAAGAAAATGAAGAAAACCTGTAGGGGTGTTGATTTTTTAGCCTCTGGGTTATTTTAGTTCTCCTTTCAAATAGGAAATTTGCATCAAATTAAGTATTAAAACTCTGAGACAGAGTAAGAAGAAAAGACTGAAGCTGCTTCCAGACGCTTAGCAGAAACTACGCCCACACTTAAGTTACTGAAATCTGTTCAAAGAGCTAAATATGAAAAAAAGCCCTGTTGATACAAAATTCCCTCATAATGTTGAACTAATGTGTTTTAAGACTTGGTTCACAATAAATTTACAAAGAAACACTGTAAGGACAAAAATAAAGAGAGTCTTGACAACAGCCTGGCCATCCCTGCAGCTCAGCCAGGCAGACTTAAGCTGCCAGGAAATGCGTTTTACAGGATCCAAATAAGTGGCTGCATAGAGCTTAGACATACAGGAAGAGCACATAAGAGGAATAAAACAAGAAAGAGGGATGGGCTGGGTAGACGTGAGACACTTAGTCTAAAGACAGAGATGAGATTAGTGCAGAAACTCACCAGATCTCTGACCAGAGGCATTGCTTTCCTCTTTCTAAGGTCTGGCATGCTGTCTATGCTGTACAGGGCACCACCCATGCTGAAGAAAAAAAGAAAAACAGCTTTATTTCAAATATCAGCTGTCAATAATGTTGACACACCACATCAATTATAAACAGGCTTGCCATTTGTTTGAAAAGCTATAGATTTTTAGCCATAATGTTGTGAGCTTCTTATTCCCTTACCCTGCAGATAAAAGCAGGGAGGCAATCCCAACATGTTCTCCTCGGGCCTGTGGAGAAACAGAGGGAGGAATTAAAAATAGCGAGAAGAGTCAAAGTTTGTTCACATGATAGCATGAGGGAAAATTCTAATTTCGGCTTCCTATTGTCAACAAAAATCAATAGGAGGTATATAGCTAAATGGCTTTTATTAGTGTCCAAAAGCAAAGCTTTTGTCATATTCTAGATAAACATCTGTAAACATTTTATTTAAACTGTTTGTTACACTTTATAGTCATTTTGATGAGAAAGGGCAGGAGTTTTCTCTAGCAGTATGGAGCACTGACTAGACTAACGCAGTGCTTCTCCACAAGTTCTGTGGACTGCCAGTCAGCTGGCTAAAAGAAATTGTTAAAGCAACATTTAAAAGCTGTAAGTAATGCAAATTATTGTTGAATTTAGTAGGTGTCTGCACAGTCTTTTTGCTTCAACTATGTATATAACAATGCATGTTATGGATATCATAATTATAAATGTAATTAAATTATTGTTTCTGTTTTAAATAAAAGCAATTAGAGCATGTTGAACTTTTTTTATTTTCTTCTAATATAAAGATACAATGATAGTATGTTTACTCAAGATTTTTATATGATGTCTCAAACTGGTCCATGCATAGTACTATATGCTGTAGTGCATCTTGGGAAAATATCCCAATTTGCATTTGAAGTTTCTCCATCAACAGTTTGGAAAAGTAACTGAAAATAAAACGATATAAAATCAATCATTACCTTTGTGCAATGGGGTTTGATTAACTTTAAAATGCCATTGTGAGAATGCTCCAATGAAGACAATATCACACATGGACTAGCTGAATGGAGGATTACTTCATTTAGGCCCTTCACACATCTGTACAACAATCTGAGAAAATCTTAAATCAGATGTACTAGAATTGCCCATCTTTAAAGGAATGTAGATGACACAGAAACAGTTTCTTATATTTAGCCAGTATCATCTAATACAGCTTCAACTACTGGCATCGTGAGGCATTGATATCCTGGCTTTCTTAGTAACTTTGCATACAGCTTTGGTGTAGAGATCCAAGGCTAAGCTGAGACCTTAAGACGTCATTGTCAGGACTCTTGTCTGTGTGTTTGTGTTTCTGTGTTTGTCTCCCTTCCTCCACCAGGAGGCACCTGCTTCTGGTCCGCCTCCTCACACACCTGCAGATGGTTACCTCGTTAACGGAGTGTTCTTAAGCTGCTGACTCCCACTACCTCGACGCCAGAGTTTTTGCCAGTTTTGTGTACTCTAGCCAAGCTGAGTTTTGCTGAGCCAAACTGAGTTCTAGTCAAATTGAGTCTTAATCTTGTTTTTTCTTTGTCTTTGCCTCTCAGCAGGAAGTCATCCAGCAAACTGGATGTTTTGGACCTTCTCTCCCTGAGAGGATCACCTGAGCTCCAAACTGAGCTAAGGTTTTAAACTGGAGGTTTGAATCTACTTTTCTCCAAGAGGAGCAAGGGATTCATCTCCACTATGGCCCGTTCAAGTGCCGCAGGAATTCTGAGTGGCAGTCAGCTTCTCCGTTCACCTTCAAACAATCGCATTCTGGGTAACTCTGTTCCGCCCTCCACCGTATCAGACAAACACTGGATCTACCGCACACAGACTGGAGTCTAAGAGTCAACCACTTTTCTGGAAACGTAAGTCAGCAATCTATTTCTCCTCTTCAAGTTCGAGAATCTGATTTCCCACTGAGCCTGATCTAACCGCAGTGTCTTCCCCTCACTTTCCAGCTCCGGCTGAGCAGTGTTCAGAGCAACACTGGATTCCTTACTATCTCATCAATAAACCTGTTAAACCTTTTCCTTGGTCTCTCTGTATTGGTTTACTGCTCTTGGGTCAGATCTTAGTAAAATCATGACAATCATGTTTTAAAAAGAAACAAATAAAGCTGAAAACATGAGGGCGATAAAGGTGAGCTTTGGGAATTGGTACCAAATGATTAGCTAAATAAAGTGTTTTAGGCAGAAAAATAACCATGCAATAATTCTTATGATTCAATCCTATCCATACCCTGTGAATAATAGCCAGGTTATTAGTCTGCTTACTTCTTCAAAATAAAACTGAATCACAAAAAAAATATAACTTAATCGCTACCACTCTATAAGTGCTTTTAATGCAGACAGCATAAATTAGAAGGCTTATATGGCTACACCCACCTTACAGTCTTCTCCAGCCATTGGTAATCAGAATGGATTACATGCAAATCGCTACAGGGATGGCAAACAACTGAAAAGAAAATAATGAAATGACGAAAACCATACAACGGGTAAACAAACTATGTTAACGCAACACATAAGATGCATAGCGGCAATCAAAAAACAAAAATATGGAAAATAAGTCGGAAAAATCTTAAAATGTATAAAATAAAACCCTTTTACATGCAATGACCGTTGCAACGGGTCATAGTTTTACAATAGTTTTGGAATAAACCACATAGGAAATTGGGTTAACAAACAAAAGCACAGACTTTAAACTGGCAGGCAGGCAAGCAAACATAGTAATGCTACACTTCAAAACAGCAGTTTGTACCTCTTGCAGCTGTAGTCGTACTCTGCTGAAAAGGCGGAGCCAGTTGGCTTTTGCTCTAGCAGGACCCGGCTCCATGATTTCTCTCTTTGGGAAGCTGAATGAAGGATTAAGAATAAACAACATACTAAAACATACATATAAAAAGAAAATATTATTTAAAGCCATATATAACACTTAATGTAAATAATGTGGTAGCTGTATGCAAAGATTTTAAATTTAACAAAAGTAAGCATCAGTTCTACTCAGAATTTTTCGTAACTTATCAAAGATGTCTTTTTTTTTAAGTCAACACATGCACAAAGTTATCCTAACAAGCAAAAATAAATGTATATACTATTTGGATAAATGTCTCTTAGCAAGTGGCATCTTATTAAGGAAGCACTTCATTATTCTAGCTAGATATTTAACCATACAGAATGCTACTATTATTCGGTTAACTTTTAAACATAGTCCATACAGTTTCAAAAAGGGCAGGGGGTGAGAATTTAGGAGGGTCGCTCCAAAAAACATTAATTTACTTTAAGATATTGACTTCTGTCCAAATTTTAACCATCTGACAGTAACAGACATACCAGCGTCTTTCAGCAGCTGAAACACCAGCTTTACTGTGAAGCAAGTTTCATAGCAACATAAACTATGTTAAAGAATAAAGCAGTACCTATTCCAAAATCATGTTGAAGCAATAAGACAAAGGAGGAGCATTTCAGACTTTTAATAATAGAAATAGTGTAGGATCTACCAAACATCTAACTGTGAAACCCTAACATATGCAAACACACAGAACTCCATTTTAGATCATAGTTAAAGCTCCTGTTGTGGAAACAGTGGCTCCATGAAAAAATTACAGGCTTTAGGTTGTAAATGGGATGTCATCGATTTCTAATTACATGTGCATGTAAAAGTAGCTGAACAAATGCTTTTGACAGAATGAAGAACTGTATCTTTACATTTTCAGAGGAAAAGACCATATACAGCATATACATTTTATGTCTCCAGTAGGACAACCAGAAAAACTTTACCTTGGAACAGGAGCCTCTTCTGTTTTCTCCTCAGGAGCAGGCTGCAGAGTTTCTGCTGCTGAGGACTGTTCAGGAGGATGATGTTCCTCCACAGGGGTTTCAGATTTGGGCTCTGGCTCTTGGGGCTTGGTGTCCTGAGGTGGAACCTGGGATGGAATTGTTGGGGAGGATGTTGTCGTGACAGACATGTGTTGCTGTGAGGGAGAAAAGGAAGGTTTGGTGGAATTTGTATCATCAAAGGGCAACATGCTGTCCTGGGAGACTGGAGGTAGTTCAAGAGCTGCACTGGACGACTGGGTCTGATCTTGGGCAGGTCTCTGCTGATGCAAGGAGGATTGTTTTTCCAAAGGAGGCCTGGTGGAAGACAGGCCATCAGATGGTGGCATCAGGGTGGGGGTAGGGCCTGAGGGCATTGGGGTGTAGCTTAGCTCCTTTTCTTTGCTTTGTTTGTCTCCTGGTAGACACATATCATCACCATATTGCCTCTCTGCCTCATCTTCATAGTTATACTGCCCCTCCTTGTAAATGTCGCCTTCCTCTTCATCATACAGCGCACCCTCTTCTCCTCCATCTTTGAGATAGCCTCCATCATCACTGTAGACGCCTTGGTGGTCCTCCCCATCCCAACCTGGGGAGTCTTCTTTGCCGTAGCTGACGGAGGAATGGCAGGAGTGGTAGGAGTCGTTTTCGTCGTAGAATTCTGAACCTTGAAAGCTTTCGCCATCCTCTGGAGGAAACTCCTCACTAAGCTGAGAGCTTCCTCGGCTCAGCTCGCCTGAAGACGCATAACGGCTGTCTGTGGGACTGAAATGAGCAGGACATAAATACTCGTTAGATACATACAACCTACAGATTTGAAATAGAAATGACAGGGGATCAGTTGCATGATTAGTTAGGTTGTCACAGATAAGGAGTCTGTGCTGGGGCCAGGGAGGGAAACAGCTAATCAAAGACTAGCGTAGCTTACAAAAATGTTAATACCCCTTTAACTTTTTTACATTTTGTTACATTGCAACCACAGATTTCATGGCCACTTAAATTTTTTCTTTTCTTTTTTTTTTTTAAACAAATGCAGATCTTATAAGGGTGGCATACAAGTTATCCAATCGAACTGCATCAATCCTGGTTGGAACTACATTTAACTGCTATTATAAACCATCAAAACAGTAACCTTGTTTCATACCCCTTTTATAAAACTAAAAATATTGTTTCATAACATGATACTGCTTTAAAATCCTCTATAATTTCATCCCAGATCTGTCTGCTGTGTTCCTTAATCTTCATCATCACATTTATTCTTTCATGTTTCCCTCACAAAATGCTGATGCTTTCCCAGATCTGTAGGGTTTTTACCGATTAGACTGTGCAGAGGCATACTAAATTCACTGATGTGGTAACCTTTTGGAGCAATTAGTTATCCTGGATTTTATTTAGATGTATCAATGGAGACAATGCATATGTATACCAACCTTTTCAGATCTTTATTTTTAATAAAATCAAAGGTAGAATTTACTTCAAATTCTCTATCAAGCACAACTTACTTTTGGTCTGTCATGTATAATCGTGGCAGAATACATTGAAGGTTGTGGTTGTAAACAGACAAAATGTGAGTTCAAGAGGCTTTTGGTTAGTTATGCATCTTTTTCACAGAAAGATGTGTGTTTTAGAAAAAGAGGAATGTTTTTAAAAATGTTAATTCAAACAGTAGTTAAAATGGAATAATTCTACGTACCAATCCACACCTGAATGCAACACTATAGTAACACATCTCTGCAGAATAAAGGGTCAACTAGACGTTAAAGGGAGAATTTATTTTTCTTTTGTAGATAAAATGGTGAATTATATATATATATTTAGAAAAAGGGACAGAGCTGTTACTCACAGGGAAAGATGAGTCAGAGATAGTTTGCAGAAATGCAGGACAAGGTCTTCTTAAACAAATTGGAGCATAAACTCACATTTGACTGTTTCATCTATATTGACCACAGTGGTGTTAGTTCGATAAAGCACAGAGCAGGATCAGTAATGGAGAAAACTATATTAAGGCTTTTGGGCTTTGAGCTGGAGGGAGTGCACGCCAGTATGGATGAATGGACACTGAAACAACAACAGCAGCACTCCTTTTTTTATATCAAAAATCTTTATCCGACAAAGAATGACTCAGATAGTGACACATTCTGCATATTACTTCAGTCTAAATACACATCTGACCTCTTCTTTTTTGAGAGAAGATCAGTCTACAAACTGAAGGAAGAAAATAAAACTAACTTACTTTAGCTTCTTTGTTAAGGCACCATTATTGGAAATACAGCCTTTTACTGTCTAGCAAGTGGGATTTAAATGCGTATAATTACCAAGTGTGGAACACCCAGCACAAGACAGGGCCCTTCCTCAAGTCTCACATACAGGGTGAGGCTGTAATAACAAGCTGTCATGACAACAGATGCGCACAGACTCTTACAGGCGGTCCCAACAACTCCAGCTAACAATTAATCCATCTCCCCCCAATTGTTATGAAAAATCAGACATGTACACACATCCTGTCAATCATTCATCCCCTTCCCACACACACACACACACACACACACATACACACACACACACACACACACACACACACACACACACACACACACAAAAACAAAGGCTGCAAAGGTTTTCTAGCAANACACACACACACACACACACACACACACACACACACACACACACACAAAAACAAAGGCTGCAAAGGTTTTCTAGCAATAAACAGAACGCACCAATGGTTTGATCTGAGAACTACCATTTTCCCCCAAAAACATAATAAAGACAGATGAAGAGAGAATAGTCTTCTAGAAAACTATATATATAGATATATATATACATATACAAAGATAGGATAAGAGCACATGCATGCAAGCACATCGAGCGAGGAGGACGGGACAAGTCCATCACTGACGTCACAGCGAGACGGTGTCACAGGCCGGAGCAGGATAAGGAAGAGGAGGATATTGCAGAGGAGGCACAGAGACCCACCTATCGGACAGAGAGTGCCTACTGTCTAGAGAATACTGACGACTGGTGCGCCGGCTCGACCCCGAGCCTGAGTCGATATCGCTGCGCCCGTTGGTGGCAGAATCTAAACTATCATAGCGTCTGGCAGGAGGAGTAGGAAGGGAGGTGGGGAGGAGTGGAGAGGTGGAAAAGGAGCATCAGTAGAGCTCAGTGCAGATAATTCATAAAAAGTTCTAACTATTCTGATCCTCTGACCTGCCTGGTTAAGGACTGGTTCACAGCTTTAATTTAAAGAGCAATGATCAGATGGCCACCTGATAAGCTTTGCTCTGTGTTATCTTAGTCCTGGTGAGCACCATTAGTGATTCCACACCCCTAAATCACAGTTCAGATCAGTTGGGTAAATTTCAAGTATTTTATTACACTTTTTTCCCCTCTTCTACCTAATAAGAGATCTAATAAAAATAAACTAACTTGTGAGGCAAAATTAAGCTTCTATCTTTATGGTTAGGATTTAAAAGATATAAACATTGTACAAAGTATATAAAAAAAACTCAATTGTTCTAATGTCTTGTTAAAATCATAGATTTCCATATTTGTTTATGGATATTAGGCTATGACCACCATAGGATGATGTATTATCTTGAATAAAATGTACAGGATTTATGGCTTACAAGAGGTTTTATGAATAAAAAATAAATAAATCAGTGTTTTTATAAAACACATTAATTAAGGACTGCAATACTGACTCATTTATAGTCTAAACAATCTGCTCTTTAATATAAAAACTATGTTTTTAACATTATATAAAAAGTTGGAACCTAATATGCATGCAAGCCAACATCTTTGCTAATATTTCACTGATGTCAGCAGGCTTTTATTTGGGCGCATCAAAGCAAATAGGGCTTAAAACAAAACAAAACTTCATATCTCAACATGCAAAAATGGTTTATTGTGTTTCCTCTTTATGATTATACTGTGTTGGTCTGTTGCATCAAAATAAATAAACATATATCACACATTTATAACATGTATATCTATTGCCTAAGACAATCGAAATGTATACGCCAACTCCTTTGAGATGCTATTAGTAGAAATCTATAACAGAAAGAAATATTTTTGCAGCAGTGAACCAATCCCTAAATATTCTAAAAAAAAAAAACATTGCACTTGAACATTTACTTTCCCACCAAACTCCTTGCAAAAACTGAAAATCTAAGGTAGATTTAAGATTTTCTGAGAAGTACTTAAGCTTTAATTCTCTGTTGTTCTGTGGAGAAAAATCACATGGGGTTTCAAGCTTCCACACATGCATACAAAAGATGCAGGTGGACATTCATACATGACCTGTATACAAGAACTCTGAGTCTCAGTATGCTTGTATAAACTGAGGCCAGGGTTGTTGTCTGGAAGAGGAGAGCACAGTGGGAGATGTTACCATGTACAACATCCAAACAAAACAAGGCCACACCAGCTGGGTGGTCTCAGACGTCCAAGGGGATTTGTTGATTAAACTTATATAACTTAAAAATCTTTTGGGGTTTTTCATTCTTCTGCTGTGAAAAAAAAACAAACTTAAAACAAAAAATAAACATGACCACCCCCACACATCATCAATTAGACTCCAGAAATATATATTCGGCTGAATTTAGCAGAATGAAAGAGCATTTTTAGCATGCCTGTTACCTCATGGTTCTGAGATCGTAGTCCAGATCATGGATGTCATCGCTGTAGGAGTGTCTGTAGTGTTGATTCCGCATGGGGTACTGGTGCATGGAAGCGTTGGGCTGGGAGGTGGTGTAGAAGGGAGGCGGGATGCTGTTACTGGTCTCGCTGCGGTAGTCGCTGTCCCTGTCATCGACAGCACTGTCTGGGTCCTCATCTGTTTACAGCAGACAAGACAGAGAGGGGATGTGAGACTTAAAGAAATGTTGGAAATAATTTTGTTAATTAGAGATGACATCAATGAAAGCAAAGGTTTTTAAAAGCTTATGATAATTAATAGTCAATGTAGGCTAATAAGGGGAAAATAGGAAGTCCTTCAGAAACAAAGCCATTAAAACCATCTGTAACTGAGTGGGATTCAAATAAATTTAGATTAAAAATAATAATAATTAGTAATTGAACTAAATTGATCTAACATTGGAAAACTTTACCTCTGCATTTAACCCATCCCCTTTGGGAGCAGTGGGCTGCCATTGTGCAGCGACCGGGGAGCAATTGTGGGTTAAGAGCCTTGCTCAGAGAGCCAGAGTGGCAGTCTGTGGGAGTGGGGCTCAAATTCAGAACCTCAGGATTCCAAGCTCTATGCCCTAAACGATAGGCCACCATTCCCCCAGATTAGAAGTTCCAACTGGATGACCAAGGATTTATTAGTTTAAAATACTTCAGACAATGATCTTATAAAAATATCTCTCCAATTATGTTTTCACAAACTGTCTTTAAAATTTAAAATAAAACCCTTTTTATCTAAATTTTGAATTTTGTGGGCTCCTAGTAGACATATCAAGGGATAAACACACACATATGTACATATATTAGCCTGTATGATCCCACCACAATTGAATAAAAAAAAAAACTTGTACTACTGGTAGTTCTTTTTATATATATATTTAAATATATATTTGTAAGACATCTATCGCCTCACGGTGTGCATGTTTTATCTGCATGTGATTTTGTATGTTGAGTGCTACTTAATGTAGATGCAGATTTACCTTTAATGCATAAAACATTGCACAGAAGCTGAAATAGAAACAGTTACCATATTCTATATGTCTCTATTTATCTTTATATAGCTGTTACTACGATCTCCAAATATCTGTCTGTGCATAAGCCATGTTTCTTGATAGAAATAAATTTTTATATATCTAATGCTTTACTCAAAATTTTAGAATATAGAAAAAGTTCCCAGCAGGGCAAAGATTTTCAGGTAGTTATGATCTCTGAGAAAATCTGCAAAAGGAAATAATTTCACTGAGATATGGACAATAAATACACTTACACAAGTCATTAGCAGAAGTGCATGACATGAACTTACTCTGCTGGTCTCCCCACAGACTCCAATTACCTGTACAGAGAGAAAATGTTTTAGAATTGACTTATAGATATAATTCAAGCACATTAAATTAAAGTAACCATGCAGAGATCCACACAAACATGTAAAGTTCTGTAGCCTTGAGGAATAATAATCTTTCAATGTAAATCAGCTATCTTAGAAGTTATGAAAGAGGTGACTGGGTGCATAACTTTGTTAGCAAAAAAAAAAAAAGAAACAAGGCTATTCTACCAGCTTATATAAAAACTGACTTTTTAAAAGCAGCTGTCCTTGACGATTCCAAGTAGCTGGAAGCAGAAAACGCATACATGCTATTATAATTTACACAGACACAAGCCACGTTTGCATAAAGAGGTAGATGAGCCGTATTAAGTAGACTTCTACTGCACATGTCTCTCCATCTGCATCCTATGTCACCATCACTGGATGCTGTGATAGACAGGGAAAGGCTGTGTTGGACATGCAGCATATGTCAACTCGATTTCATCACACATCCATCCTCTTAAAATCATTTTGGAGCTCAGGCAGGCATGCATTCATGATTAGTCACATCATCTTCCTTTGCTTTCGTCACTCTATCCGGTGTTGAATCTAATAGCTTTATGTCTACCTTCTGCATAGCCTTCTCAATGAGTCAGAGAAAAAGAGCAGAGGGAGCGGGAAGAGTGGAAAACAGGACGCATGAAACGGACACAGCGGCAACGGCGCAGAGGGAGGGGGATACAGAAGAAGGCGGTGAAACTTACAGCACTGAGTGGAGGGGGCATGGAGTGATTGCTCTTGTTCTTCTTGGTAGGCATACTGACGTTAGAAAAGAAGCAGCGGAAACAGGCATGTTAGGGAAATAACATTAAGATCTTAGAAACACAGGGAGATCTTAACTCTGGAAGATCTGCTTGTTTTACGGAAATGAAAAATGTTCAGAAACATTACTAGAGCTATGACGCAAAACAGAAACAACATTAAATAAGATTGGAAAACTACATTTTATGAATAGTCAATTAAAAAGTTAATGACACGTGGAATTCAGTTAACAGTTTGTGCAAAAAAAGGAGAAATTCTTACATCTTGATCTCTCATTGCATTGAGTTGTTCAAGTTTCTTGGCCCAGTATCTGGCCTCTTCCTCTGGAATGTCTACAGAAATACAAAAATAAATTAGCCCAGTTGCAATTTAAAGAAAATAATACATGTTTCCATGTCATATTACAGGCTTTAAATGCTGGAGATAATGCAGGCTCTAAAGAAGCTGGAGGTCTATCACAGAGTGAATGAAAAGGTTTGTACAAGTGTTCCTAACCAAAGATGGCTTCTGTATTTTTCCTGGAAAGGTCAAAGTAGGATGAACTGATAAAAACAATTAAAGGAGAGTGAATATTCTTTTATACAATTTTAACAAAGCCTGTTGCCATGCTCATAAATCTTAAATAAAGGTTGTCAAAAGTAATAAAATATATTCATTAAATACTGCAGCTGCATAAAGTTAGACTCAAAATAGAAAGAAAATCTATATTTATAGTTTTGAAATTGCATCCAGAAGGGAAATAAATTAAATCTCAATGAGTGATTGATTTCTTACCAACTCTCTGGTGTCAAATGTGTTGAAACTGAAATAAGTCTTATTTGAATGTTTAACTTTAGAAATTGATCAGGTAGACACTTTCGCAGCCTTTACTGGCTTCCTGTTTTTCTGCAATGTATTAATGTAACATGAGCCTGATTCCTTTTAGCAACAATTCAAAATGCTCCAGATGAGAGAACAACCCATTCAACAGAGGCAGATGTGTCTTGACTTTCAGCGGTACAAGTAAAAAAACAAGAGACCCCTAAACTTAAACACATCTGCAGCCAGAGCAACTTTAAAACCATTGGAGCTGTGAGAAACAAGCTTGGAGAAGGACATGATGATGTATTTGATTTATGCATAATGATAGACCAATTATTTATCTTCCTGTGGTGTACAGTGAGGAGGATGGTAAGTGAAGGATAAAAAACTCCAGCTAAAAAAACAGCAAACTATTTCATTCTATCATCCTAAATCTAAATGTTAGCTCAACATTTACTGGACTATGAAGCCTTGTCAGAACAACAGCACTTTGCCACTAGGCCTCCACTCCCCACATCTTTACAAAGGATAATATTACCTGTCCAGAACGCCTTCAGAAAGGCGACATATATTCAGTAAAAACTGCAGTTTCATTAGATCAAATTTAAAAGAATATACAATAAAAACAAAGTCACCAAAAAGAAAAAAATATGCATTTAACGTAGAGAGAAATATGATGAAGACCAAACCTAATGGCAGTTCAAAGCGAGTGTCTAGCAGCAGCCTGTGAAAGGTCGGGTCTTTGGTTCCACAGATCTCGTTCTCAGCCATGATCACATTTGAGTCCAGGGTAAGCCACTGGCCTGGACCCTCCTGAAGAACACAAAATAGAACAAGAAAGTCAAACAAAAGAGCATCATTGTAAAATGCTAACTCAGAAGAATAGAACCAAAAAGTTCATATTTCCTGTTTCTTTTTAATTAGAACAGATGGAAAATCCATTTGTTGGCCCACAATAGGGAAATTGTGGTCTTACAGCAGCAACAGGTTATAGCATAAGTGAACACACAATGTGGACCTTAGAAAGTGTATAAATGTAACAGAATAAGTAACAGAGTTAAGAAAATAAACAAAAAAATACCATACTGTACAGTGTTTTTATAATATAAATGCTCTGTTTATAATAATAAACAGAGCATTTATATTTACAACACAGGAGTGTTTACCTATCACATATTGAAAGTTTGATGACTCTAAAAGACCGCTGCTGTGCCTGACTTTTTTTTTTTAATCTATAAATGTAACAAACAGTTTTTAGATTTAAGGTGCAACCTAATGAAGAAAATAGAACTTCTGTCTGCAGAAAATGGTATACTGAATTACAGTATTAAACTGATAGTAGGAACTTTTGAAAACAATCATTTTTCATTAATCTAAACCCAGATATAATCCCTGAATCATTATAACTAATGAAACAAATTGAGAAAAAGAGCAGGAGAAGGACCTCGTTGGACTGTCGTATGCTGTGCAGGGGGATCCATACAGTTCCAACCATGGTGTCCCAGATCAGTCCTTTGTTCCACACCTCCACTGTGAGGCCTAGATCCAGACGGTTTATCTCACTGTGCAGCAGAAAGAGTAAATTGTAAAAAAAATAAAAAAAAAATAAAAAAAAAATAAAAAAATTGTTCTTTATCGAAAAATCAATCAGCATAAAGGGAAGTTGATTGTGAACAAAGCTATTGCAAGGTTCGATAAGAGCAGAGACTATGTGGAACAAGAATAAAACAGAACTTTTCCCATAGCAACACACTGTTGAAGCTTATGTAAGAAACATAAAGCTCTAATATGTGACTGAAAATCTTCAGCTTCCTCTACATCTCTTAAATTTTAGCAAGAGGTTTTTGTTTTAACAGACATCTTTAATAATTAAAAAACTTCGAGTCAAATGTTTTCTTTAAAGAAACAAATAAAGTGTTCCTCCTTGAATGGTAAAGCAGTGCCAGAGTCATGAGTCAGAGTGAAAAACCTTTCTGAAGAAGCATTTTTTTCTTGTTTTTAGCAAATTTCAAGAATTACTGAGTTCAGAAGAAATCTTCAGATAGAATCAAGCTTCTGGGTGTGGAGACATGTTATGTCAGCCTAACACTCAACAGGAGGATAGCTTAATATAAGCAAGAACTCCTTTTATGAAGGATAAATGTTGCTGCTGATACTGCTGCCCTCAGTTACTAACGCTTGAGGGGAACTCTTCCTTTAATGAAATAAGAACATCTATTAATGGTCTGCAGCTAAATGTATGATACTATTATTATCTCCATAATAACCACAGGCATGAATGTAGAAACCAAAGCTAATCCTTTTGTTTAGATCATTTTTTAGGTAACAATATGGGAAACATGGAGTTACACACTTTTATATAGATTTCAGGTGTTGATATGAGGGTGCATTTTACAATAAAATCAATGAAAACCTCTTTATGAAATATGTGTTTTTGGAGATTGACAGACAAAAAGACATATTGAATGAGGAAATGAGTGTTGAATGTAAGACACTGTACATGTAGGTGGAATAAAAGGACTCACAACATGAAGTCCTGTTCCCAGCAGGGTTGACTGCCTCGCACAGCGATGGTTGTGCTTTTAACATTTTGCACCTTGAGGGTCACGTAAGTGTTAAATTTCTCTGTAAGAAATTAAATTGATTATACTTTCTGTACAAGCCTATCAATCAGCTTCAGCGATAAATGCTGTGTATTTAACGTCATTACTCACCTTGGGGTCCATCGAGCTTTCCTTTCTTTACTGTGAACGAAATGATAAAAAAGCAAAAAACAGAACATAGCATTAGTCTGTTTTATCATATTATCTTAAAGACGCTTTATACCAAATATAAGAGTATTTTGTATGAAAAATGCTTTAAAATGACCCATATTTTCTCACTTTGTAACAACAAACAAATAATATACTTCATCAGGAGTTTTTTTGACAGATTAAGACCAATGCGGTACAAACTTTGGTGTTGAAAAAATTGGCATACGGATTTCAAAATTTAACCAATGCATGCATTTCATCCCTTACGTTAATACTGTAGAACCATCTTTCACAGCAAATAAAGCTGATACTCTATTGGTGTATGTTTCCACCAGCTTTGCACAGTTTTTTTGGCCAAAAAAAGACCTAGCTCAACCCTTGACTGACCCGATGGATATTGTCTGTAACAATGATCCAGGGATTTTATTTATTTTTCCTTTACAGCAGCTTACTGGTACTGTATACAGCTGCGTCCCCCATTCTATTAAGACTGACCAGCTGCCTCAGCATGATGCTGCCACAACCATGCTTCACTGTGGTAATCATGGGGGACTGTTCTGCTGAAAGTCTGTTTGGCCACCACGTTATATTAAGCGAACAGCATTTCTGGTTTGTGTTGTATTTCTGTTCGAATCATTTCGTTTTGGTTGATGATTTGAATGGTGCTACGTGGGATATTTAAAGCTTGGATTCTTTTCTGTCCATGATCAGACAGCTGTGTTCTCTGGTTTAACATGATGCTTTTTTGTTGTTTAACAAGCATTTAAGGACTTTACAGAACAGCTGCCTTTACAGTGAAATCAAATAACCTACAGGTTACACACTGGTTGCACTGGACTTTATCTAGGAGTATAGAAGTAAAGAGGGTTGAATATTAGTCCACACTACATTTTCTACATTTTCAATAATTAAATAGTTAGTCGTTACATAAAATTATAATATATTGTAGAGGCCTGGACAGTTTAGAAAAAAAACACACACACACACACACAAAATAAAAAGAGTCTTGCACCAATCTTAACCATTGCCTCTGCCTCACAGAGCTTGCTGGTGACTGACAGCAGTTTGGCATTTTAGATATAAGGTGGGTGGTCTGCTGTCCTCAGGCCGGGATTCCTCTGTTCTCTATGCATAGAATGCCAAGATCTCAATATGAAAGACTGAACCCATTCAGTAGATGTCAGAGTCTCTGAGTCATTTATTGAAGGCTAGAGGAACAGTTTGTGCAGGTAAAAGTTAAAGGTTGAGGGAAAAGCCTCTTTTGCTTCTTACCTCTTTAAGTTGCAATCCCACATTTTTTTAATAGGACATGACAAAAAAAAAAAAACGTTATTATCTCTGAGATGATCAACAAGGTACTGTCAATGTCAGACCGCCAATTCTCTTTCACAGAGTCCTACAGAGGTAGCATGGCTTTTAAAACACCAGTGATGTCAAATCCGTATTTATTATTCATTTAATTTTGACCCCTACTGATGTTTACCCCCTTTCTGTTCAGCAGTGAAGTATTAATATTCAGAGAGCTGATATTTAATCCCTGCTGATTGCCTGTTTTTATTGATATTACATGTATTGTAGGAGACTTTTTTATTATACATTTAAACTTTAGTTGTCCAAAGACTATATGAAACATATGATAAAATCTCTGTTCTCATATTTATAGCTACTGTGTTTTATGTATAACACAGCAAACAGCTTCAGTGACTGAAAAAAAACGACTTTGGTTCATAAGTTTGATTTTCTTGTGTATTTCTTGTGAAACAATCAAAAAGGATCCTCTTCACTCCTCAGTATATCATTTTATCCACCATGGACTAATAGCTCACTCTTTATCACGTCTGACTATATAATTATTTATTATTATTATTTATTATTACCATTTGGCTTATTCACAGACACTGACTAGCTACAGTCAAGGTGAAACTGGATTACATTTGAACAAGTATTTCTTTCCTCATTAGCAGCATCTCATTTACTAAATACTAAACAAAATTTACTTAGGACCATAAAGCTGTGATTTATGATTTCCATAACATCCCAAAAAATGCTTTCATGAGCAGAATAAATTGCATCAGATTGTTAAAAATTCCCCATAGTAAACACATGGGAACTACTTTTGGAACAAAGCAGGCTAAACGTAGATTTCTGAAATTTTATGTGTGCAGACTACACCTAAAAAGAGGAGTCTATGCAAGAAAACCAGCCAAGTTAAAGGAACTCTATCACATCTGAAAAGCAGAGAGGTTGAATAGTCAGCTAGAATTTGGCCAGCATCTTATTTTATTCTAGATCGGAAAAATAATATTACAGTTTTAGATGAATCATGTATTATACACAACTGTCTGTGATGGTAGTAAATAAATATAAATCAATTTTGTCTTGTAAAGAAAAAAGCTAATTGAACTTGGAAAGAGGTGATGACAAAGCAACACATTCTGAGTAATTTTCCCTGTCAGTGAAAATGGAAATGATAATCGCTGTGGAGCGACAGGTTTCTTAAAATAGCATTTTCCACAGAAAACCTCCAGGATAACACCTATCTCTGTCTTAACCATGGGCCCTGAATCACGATTTAGGTGGTGGTTTAGTGGAGCATGTGTTTCACAGACTACTCCAAAGGAAAATCCTCCTCCAGATATTTACCTGCTGGAAAAGCATTCCCATCCGCAGGGTGAGGTGGAATCAATCCAGTCAATTCACATTTTATCAACATGTGAGCACTGACAGATCCACCTTAGCGTCTCACTTGGCAACCCTCACGCACAGCGTCCTGTCCTCATCCAGTCATCGCCCTTTTCCCTCTCACTCCATCACTGACTCCCACAAGCCTCCCCTACCATGTGGCGAGTGTGCACGTGCGCTCCCTTTCTATCTCTTTTGCTTGTGCTCTATTAATCTCTCTGTGGAGCCGCCGGATGCAGTCAGAGTGAGCTGCATCCCCAACTCTAAAAATAACCACCCTAGTGTGACAGGGCTGGGGAGAGGGGTGCTGGAAAGAGAAAAAAGGGGTGTGTGTGTGTTTGCGTAGAAGGGGAGGACTATATGCTGTCAGGCATGAGACTGAACCAACACTGCTGCATTTATGGCACACTAAAAAAAAAGGAAGTGTTGTTTATTCTGTTGATATGCATCTGGATAATTGACAGGAATCCATCTCACAAAATTTGAAATAGTTGGAAATAAATCATGTATATCTTACAATCTATGTATATTTATATCTTTATCTTTAGAACTAATTACAGTGAACAGAAAATTTCATGCTTCTGATGCATTCAGAATTTCTTTTTTCAGAAGTTGGAAGGATTGTGCAACAAATAACTTCAGAGGATCTGGAACTAAATTTTGTTGTGCTTTTCTTCTGATCGAAACAAAATATTTTTCTTACATTCTAACGATATAACTGGGGGTTTGATGTTTAAACTTGGACACAGCTGGATGCTCCAACAGGTCAAAGTCCCCAAACACACACAAAAATCAGTTGTAAAATCAGAAATAAGGCCCTTGGAATGGGCCAAACTTAAACCCTCTTGACACAACATTGTTTGAAAGAAAGCTCTATGGAAAGAAACAATGGAATAAATAAACAATCACTTTGCATAAAAAAGCAAATTAGAATTATGGTAGTAGTTTGGTGAAAGCAAGAGATGTTGTGTAGTTTCTCTATAGATTGCTTAGAAAGCTTTAGTCATTTATATTTGTATACATGTATGCATTTTTAATACATTAGTGAGGTTGCTCTTAATATCTGATTGGATTCATAGAATAGTTTAGCAATTTATTTGTATAGCACAGTTTAGTAAAGAGGAAATTCAAAATGTTTTACATGAATTAAACAATAAAATAAAAGGAAAATAAAAATGGGATATAATGTCCTTTAATGTCCCAAAATGAATATCCTGGGATAATATGGATTGGATGGTGCCTCACTATAATTATTTTTATTTCCACTTTTTATGATTTTATCAAGCCTTATCAAAAAAAATAATCAATATTAATTTAAATAAAATGTACTTATTAATAAATAGATGCAATAAATAGAATATAGCACTGATTTTATGCTTCTACTTTGTAATTTTCTGGTGTGTATTTTGCAATCTTGCAGCTGGGTGTCACGATCAGAGTGGCTGGCAGATTTAAATATGCTTACTCAGCCTCAGTGACACAGTTTATTATTTTGCAGATTACTTCAGACAACATGAGACATGGAGAGGGTAAATTACTCTGAGTAGAAAATACAAGACCACTGAAGCAAAGGCTCATCTTTATCCGTATCCCTACAGCAAACATTAAACAATATTTTATCAATGTAAAGATAGCAGATGGCCTTCCAACAGGTCTGAATAAAGTACTGGGAAAATGAATACAATAATCTTTAGTACTGTGGAAGACAGTGGAGCACAAATTAACACCAGAGCTCATTCAGCAACAACTGATGGGTGTAATTTGAAAATAAACACACAAAAAAGAGTCATTGAAGGATACAGCATCTAGTACAGAGGCTTGAAAGTTTGGCAAACATTCATAATGAACATAAGCAAATACAGCTCATTCTTATTGTAATAAGAATAATACAGTAATTTCTACAAGTGGGTGGCAGAGAAAATACATGTTATTCTGTACTTGAAGGATGTGATGCTGTCCCCTCATGCCTGAATAAAGGTTTTTAAACTTTTGATTGGAGAGATTTGCACAAAATTGCCTCCACAATTTGGATTCAACAGATATCCTTCTTGCTCAGTGGCTATTACTGAGTTAGATTAATGTTTTCGTTAGGTCAAGGCAAATGTTTGACATGACTATTGTCTAATTAGTTGATTATCCAAGCTTTTGTTGTTGTTGTTGTTGTCAGCATTCACTTTTTAGTCAGGCTTTGCCTCATAAAATGGAGTATGCTGTTAATGCTAGGAAGGTTTATAACAAAATATCTAAGGAAGGAGAAGTTAACGCCGTCATAACGCAGTTCTACCAGTGCTTTAACCAGGGTCACTAATGAAGGGGCAGGGCTCTGCATATGCCCTGTTTTAAAATGGTTTCAATTAGCCCCTTGCTAACGATAAATAACCCCTTGGATCTTTTTTTTTTTTTAAATAATGTGAATTATATTTTAAGATTACTGTCTTACTCGAGAAAAGCCCTGTTTCATATCAACCTCAACACCAAACCAACACAAGTATCTTTCTCCTGGCAACCGGTAAAATCCCTCCCTCCCTCACTCCCCTCTTCCGTTAATCCAGGATCGGGTCGTGGGGGTAGCATCTTCAGTAGGGAGGCGCAGACGTCCCTCTCCCCAGCCACTCCCCCAGCTCCTCCGGGGGAATCCCAAAGTGCCACCAAGCCAGCTGAGAAACATAGTCCCTCCAGCGTGTCCTGGGTCTCCCCCTGGGCCTCCTCCTGGTGGGACGTGCCTAGAACACCGTACCAGGGAGGCGTCCAGGAGGCATCCTAACCAAATGCCTGAGCCACCTCAACTGGCTCCTCTCGATGTGGAGGAGCAGCGGCTCTAATCTGATTCCTCCTTGGATGAGGAGCTCCTCACCCATCTCTAAGGGAGAGCCCAGACACACTACGTAGAAAACTAATTTCGGCCTCTTGTATCCAGGATCTCAATCTTTCGGTCATAACTCAAAGCTCGCGACCATGGATGAGGGTAGGAACATTGATCGACCAGTAAATCGAGAGCGTTAACTTTTGGCTCAGCTCTCTCTTCACCACAACCTGCAAACTCCTATTAGCCACTGGATGGTGAGACAGAGAGTCACAACTAATTGTTCAAGAGGACAAATCACTACTGCTCTGGATGCAGCTCATCCATGGAAAACCCATTTCATGAAACCTTGTTCTTAAATTAATCTGAATTCTTCATTAAATTTGAAAGGTCTGTAGCTACTGACTCTTCAGGAAGCTGCTGACCTCTTCCAACCACGAGCCTCATCATCCACTGACCTCTGCTGAGGGTCTGATGTCACCAACCATTTTGTAAAAGAGTCATTGTCATCCCAATCTGCTTCCATTCTGTCATTAGACCAAGTACCAGTTGGATGTAAAATATTTAGTAGTGGGAATATTCAGTGATATGGAGGAATTACCCATTACTGCTATAAATATAGTTTAATCTTCTAAAAGTATATCAACATACTGTTAACATCAGTCTCTTTGAGGGTCTTTAGAAGTCTCCTTTTCATCATACCACAAAGCAGAAAGAGTTTGAAAGAAGATGCATGGATAAATTCCTGTAAAACATGTTTGATCATTCCCCTTTCATCATCTGAGTCGATCATCACCAACGCATCAACAACCAGTCAACCCCAAAAAGCATTAGATTAATAACCTGAAGGACTCAAGTTACATAAATAAAGAGGATCTTCATATTTCTCCTCAAATAATTTCAATGTTAATGCATGCAAATCAAAATGGCTTCCTGAATACAAAGTAAATTGCTGTCAGCAGCTTCTTTAATCATTTATGTATGTATCTGTCCATGGTCCAAAAAGTGTTAGACATTGAGTCCACTTGCATTAGTTTTATGCGTCTGTTTTACACTGCTACGTTTTCTTAGACCAATTTAAAATAAACCTCTTCAGCTCTTGACATAAAATAAAAGGACTTTATCAACGTGATGTCCATAAGGCTTCAATTGGCTCTCTTTAAATCCACACCCTTAAAAGATTGCATCTCCTTTCAGATCTAAACTCTGTTTCGATATAGGCTATCACCAGAGAATTACAGCAAATAACATAAAAGTTGTAGGAAAAGCAGCAAAAACTGTTTATACAGCATTGAGCTAAGTGAAGCTTACATCTTGATTAAGTATATTTGTTTGACAGAGGTCGCCAGGAGCACACCACTGGACTAATCTGTAATATCGATCCAGTAGGATCAGTGCCAGGTTCTGTAATATCCTGCAGAAGAGTCATTAGACACTTTCTTTGGGGGAAGTGTGGTAAAATAAGCAGATGCATTAAAGAAATTCAGAATTTAGAACTGTATCTGCACTCTTTTCACACCAAGAACATGTATATTGCATTTTTAACTTTCTACACAGCATTCCCTAACGTGTGCTCTTGAGCTATTTTAAATGTTCAGACCAGCTGGTGGAGGAAACTGACAGAACATCATGCCAAGACATTATACTGTTAGAAGCGCCTTACCTCCAACACACAACAATGACATTTCTTATGAGCTGCTTTAATCCAGGGTCCAGCTACTTCACTAGTTCCCTAATTGGTAGAGATGATCTTTACAAAGCCCAGCCCAGGGATGGAGAGCAGCTGGGCTGGAGGTGGGTGAAACCAGGCGTCGCTGTTCACTAGCGGCAACGTTGCCCGGCTGGCTTCGTGACAGCTAGTAAAAAAAAAAACACATAAATCAAAATAAAAAAATAAAAACAGACGGTAGACACTTCCCTTCGCTCAGACGGAGAACGCCCTGTCCCTTTTCTCTTTTTGTGGCGTGTTTCGCCGCCTCTTTCCACCCCTCCCCGCTCTCTCTCAGCTCTCCAATCCCCAGCTAACAGCCATCTTGTTCAGCTTCAGCACCACCAGCTGCGCGGACAGCAGTGACGTCAAGGCGCGTGGCTTGTTTCATTACTCTTCAAAGGTTTTAATAGTAATAAAAAAAACTAACAATTATAATAAAATAAATAATAAAAATTGTAATAATGTAATAATAAAAATAAATTGTAAAAATTGTAATACATAATAAAAATGTATCAATAAATAAAATAATATTAATAGCAATAATTACATTTGTGACTTATATTTGTATTTGGAGCGCTCTGATCTGATATAATGAGCTGTATGTGATGTAATCACATTTAACCAACCTCTGTTCTAAGAAGTCCACAGATTTTTCTTGAGGAATTTTGATGCAAGATCATCCAGGGACGCCCTAAACTGACCAGATAAGGCATGGGTGTCCTAATTTTGTGTGGTTAAGCAAAGCAATAGCCACAGAAGTCAATAGGCCCCTTGGTAAGCTTGGAGGGGGTGCATATATTTAAACCTCAGGTGCTAATAATGTTTCCAGGTAAACCAGAAGACATTTAATAATGCAACTACAATTAAGACAAAACTTGGCAGATATTTGCTCTATATGTGACAACCCCAAATGAGTCCTCAGGATTATAGAAACTTTTTAAGTAGACCTTCACAAAAGGAGAAAAGGAAATGAGCTGCTTGGTGGAGGTCTGAGCTCTGACTTCTTTTTAGTTCTGCAAAAACTTATTCGATAAAACATAAATGTTTACTTTTTCTTGGCATTAAACCTTGAGTTTAAATTTTTGCTGGTAAACATTTCATACAAAACTTTCAAAGAACACATTAAATGATGCTTTGTTGAATTTGTATTTATTGGAAAACATACCCGTTTATTCTGAGTCTAAAAGTTAAAGTCTGAACCTTGTCAAGCAACCCGTCTTTAAACCCCCACAGCAAGCAGAGCAGAAGCAGAGACGCTAAAAGAAATCCCATAAAACGTTCAACAGCTCCCCCTGCTTGTGATCATGGAAATTACAAGACATGTTTTCTCATGCCACCAAAATGACATTGCAACTCTGTGGTAGAAGTTGTTCAGAAATGTGATTCAAGTTTTGTCTGTACATTTCAAGCATGTCTATACTGACATGAAAACAATGATTTAATGGACATCTTAAAAAAAAAAAATACAAAAACAATGCATAAACATATGTTATGACGACATTAGAAACAGCATGTTCGTCCTACAACCTGACAATGCTGAAAATCCACAATTTCATACCCCAGCATTTACGATTTTGCCCTGCTGCTGTTTCCCCATGAGCAATGCATCCAGAGCAGAATACAAATACTTATATACATACTGTATTGAATCTGCAACCAACCTGTGAACAACTGCTATAAACAATGTAAAAAAACACAATTAGAGTCATCCTTTTTTTTTGTCCAGTTAGTGTGGTACAAAAAAAGAATAGACTTGGTCAAAATACCTACATGCTTCCTCTGATTCACATTCAGATTAAACATGTTCAGAAGCACATGTCATACAGAATACATGTATCTATAAACAACAGACAAGTTGACATGGACCATATGTGTTTTTCATAAGAATTTGAACAAGTTCCTTTGCAGATGTGATCACACCCAAATTTTCTGTTGATTCGAACAGTCGTTTGTCCAGATGAGGCACAGCTGCATGGCCATCCGACACTCCTCATAATTTCTCGCTGACAAGGAACAGAGATGAAAATGTGACAGAAAACTAGAGATAGTATCTGAGGCATAAAAAGTGATGTAGGAATGAATTTCTTTCTGTTCTGTTTTCAAACTACATGCCAGGAAACCCAACTATAGAAGGTTTGGATTCTCAAATATTAAACAGGAGTTTGATGGAAACCACCTAACAGCCATTTGTATGTCGTTTTTATTGTTGTTGTTTTTTTTTTTACATATATAAAATGAAATTACTACAATGCAAAACATAAAAGACTAAGAAATTAATCTGCTTATTAAAGATACAATATTTAAAATTCTAGCAAATGTTTTTGCTTTTTTAATGTTCTGACTTAAGTTGGTTAGACATAAAAGTCTTCCTAAAGGGAAACACAAAGATAAACTGGATTATAATAGATGTTTAGTAAAGCACAAGTTTCCATTTTTTATATTTCTACTGCATCAAACTATAAAGTAATCTTTACCTGTCCAGATGAGAAAAGACCTCATGAAGTTGGCTGAGGAGAGCGCGGTGTTTCTGAGGATTTCCCTCCAGGACCCCACTGAGTCGACTCAGGTATGAGTCAAGATTACCAAGAGATGCTGTCTCCCCTGTACCTGTTGAGGCATCAAAATACCAAATAAACATTTTGTTTAAACATATATTTTAAACTCTAATAAGACATAACACAACTTTGTAGGTTTGTTTAAACTGAAAATAAAAAAAAATACGTCTATCTAAAATGTCCATCATCTCCTCCCCATGTGGCTGACATACAGCTTCTGACCTGGCAGAGGGACTGTGGACAGGCTGCTGACCAGCGTGTGTTTAATGGCCAGCAGGTGTGAGTGAAGAGCCTGGGTACGCTTTTCATCCTGCCCCAATTCAGCCTCCAGACGTTCTTTAGCGCTGTTCATGTCATTGATGTGGCGCTGCAGCATAGCGTTCTGCTCTTCAAACTCAATGTTTGCCTTCCGAAGTCGGCGCAACTCGGCCTCTCGAGCTAAAAAAAAAAAAAAAAAGATGACTTAAGTTTCAGCAGGACAAACCCTTAACTTTTATGCATTTTAAGAATTAGTTGGTATTTTTCTAAATTCAACAGTTTCTTCATTGGACAGTTATCTTGTTTGAGTGTCTGTTACCTTTATTCTGATCGAGGAACTCTTCGGTGAAAATAGGAATGTCAAATCTGGTTGAGAGCTCAGGAGCCTAAAACAGACATAAAAAAAAAACAGAATGATAACTTAGATTTTGATGTAAGAAATAAATAAAATAAACCTTGTAAGGTCGCCTACCTTCATTAAAGACAATCCTGAACTTGTACTGACAACAACCGGCAGACTGTCTTCTGAAACAAGAAATTAAAACTGTAGATGCTTTTTTTTCTCCATGGCACAAATCAACATTACTAGACTTCATGTATAAGAGGTCAGCTTTACCCTTTTTAATCTTCTTGTCATGTATCTTGGCACTGGTGATGTGGTACGCCTCAGTCTGTTGATACTCCTTTAGTTCTTGGGCATATTGCACCTTCTCTCGCTCCGCCTCATCAAGATAGCGCTGTCAGTAATCACACAATGTTGAGCTGTTATAATAAAAAGCAACTAAACTGCTCTCATGGAATTTATTATAAAAGGTATTGTGGAGGATTCTTTAAAAGACCCCGCTACCCACTTAAAAAACATGCTCATGCTATAGCGTTTAACATGTGCTGTTCTCATAGCTCATACAAGCTTACAGTGTCCACATACAGCGGACCATTCCACAGATGATCACTGCTTTTTACACCGTTGGTCATGTAATTCCTCCTCCACCACACGGTACCTCCACTATCTTTGTTAATAGTCACTGCTGTGACAGCAAATCCCATAAATATATCTGCCTCTTCTGAGGCCTTNTACAATAATCTTTAGTACTGTGGAAGACAGTGGAGCACAAATTAACACCAGAGCTCATTCAGCAACAACTGATGGGTGTAATTTGAAAATAAACACACAAAAAAGAGTCATTGAAGGATACAGCATCTAGTACAGAGGCTTGAAAGTTTGGCAAACATTCATAATGAACATAAGCAAATACAGCTCATTCTTATTGTAATAAGAATAATACAGTAATTTCTACAAGTGGGTGGCAGAGAAAATACATGTTATTCTGTACTTGAAGGATGTGATGCTGTCCCCTCATGCCTGAATAAAGGTTTTTAAACTTTTGATTGGAGAGATTTGCACAAAATTGCCTCCACAATTTGGATTCAACAGATATCCTTCTTGCTCAGTGGCTATTACTGAGTTAGATTAATGTTTTCGTTAGGTCAAGGCAAATGTTTGACATGACTATTGTCTAATTAGTTGATTATCCAAGCTTTTGTTGTTGTTGTTGTTGTCAGCATTCACTTTTTAGTCAGGCTTTGCCTCATAAAATGGAGTATGCTGTTAATGCTAGGAAGGTTTATAACAAAATATCTAAGGAAGGAGAAGTTAACGCCGTCATAACGCAGTTCTACCAGTGCTTTAACCAGGGTCACTAATGAAGGGGCAGGGCTCTGCATATGCCCTGTTTTAAAATGGTTTCAATTAGCCCCTTGCTAACGATAAATAACCCCTTGGATCTTTTTTTTTTTTTAAATAATGTGAATTATATTTTAAGATTACTGTCTTACTCGAGAAAAGCCCTGTTTCATATCAACCTCAACACCAAACCAACACAAGTATCTTTCTCCTGGCAACCGGTAAAATCCCTCCCTCCCTCACTCCCCTCTTCCGTTAATCCAGGATCGGGTCGTGGGGGTAGCATCTTCAGTAGGGAGGCGCAGACGTCCCTCTCCCCAGCCACTCCCCCAGCTCCTCCGGGGGAATCCCAAAGTGCCACCAAGCCAGCTGAGAAACATAGTCCCTCCAGCGTGTCCTGGGTCTCCCCCTGGGCCTCCTCCTGGTGGGACGTGCCTAGAACACCGTACCAGGGAGGCGTCCAGGAGGCATCCTAACCAAATGCCTGAGCCACCTCAACTGGCTCCTCTCGATGTGGAGGAGCAGCGGCTCTAATCTGATTCCTCCTTGGATGAGGAGCTCCTCACCCATCTCTAAGGGAGAGCCCAGACACACTACGTAGAAAACTAATTTCGGCCTCTTGTATCCAGGATCTCAATCTTTCGGTCATAACTCAAAGCTCGCGACCATGGATGAGGGTAGGAACATTGATCGACCAGTAAATCAAGAGCGTTACCTGTTGGCTCAGCTCTCTCTTCACCACAACCTGCAAACTCCTATTAGCCAGTGGATGGTGAGACAGAGAGTCACAACCAATTGTTCAAGAGGACAAATCACTAATGCTCTGGATGCAGCTCATCCATGGAAAACCCATTTCATAAAACCCTGTTCTTAAATTAATCTGAATTCTTCATTAAATTTGAAAGGTCTGTAGCTACTGACTCTTCAGGAAGCTGCTGACCTCTTCCAACCACGAGCCTCATCATCCACTGACCTCTGATGAGGGTCTGATGTCACAACCATTTAGTAAAAGAGTCATTGTCATCCCAATCTGCTTCCATTCTGTCATTAGACCAAGTACCAGTTGGATGTAAAATATTTAGTAGTGGGAATATTCAGTGATATGGAGGAATTACCCATTACTGCTATAAATATAGTTTAATCTTCTAAAAGTATATCAACATACTGTTAACATCAGTCTCTTTGAGGGTCTTTAGAAGTCTCCTTTTCATCATACCACAAAGCAGAAAGAGTTTGAAAGAAGATGCATGGATAAATTCCTGTAAAACATGTTTGATCATTCCCCTTTCATCATCTGAGTCGATCATCACCAACGCATCAACAACCAGTCAACCCCAAAAAGCATTAGATTAATAACCTGAAGGACTCAAGTTACATAAATAAAGAGGATCTTCATATTTCTCCTCAAATAATTTCAATGTTAATGCATGCAAATCAAAATGGCTTCCTGAATACAAAGTAAATTGCTGTCAGCAGCTTCTTTAATCATTTATGTATGTATCTGTCCATGGTCCAAAAAGTGTTAGACATTGAGTCCACTTGCATTAGTTTTATGCGTCTGTTTTACACTGCTACGTTTTCTTAGACCAATTTAAAATAAACCTCTTCAGCTCTTGACATAAAATAAAAGGACTTTATCAACGTGATGTCCATAAGGCTTCAATTGGCTCTCTTTAAATCCACACCCTTAAAAGATTGCATCTCCTTTCAGATCTAAACTCTGTTTCGATATAGGCTATCACCAGAGAATTACAGCAAATAACATAAAAGTTGTAGGAAAAGCAGCAAAAACTGTTTATACAGCATTGAGCTAAGTGAAGTTTACATCTTGATTAAGTATATTTGTTTGACAGAGGTCGCCAGGAGCACACCACTGGACTAATCTGTAATATCGATCCAGTAGGATCAGTGCCAGGTTCTGTAATATCCTGCAGAAGAGTCATTAGACACTTTCTTTGGGGGAAGTGTGGTAAAATAAGCAGATGCATTAAAGAAATTCAGAATTTAGAACTGTATCTGCACTCTTTTCACACCAAGAACATGTATATTGCATTTTTAACTTTCTACACAGCATTCCCTAACGTGTGCTCTTGAGCTATTTTAAATGTTCAGACCAGCTGGTGGAGGAAACTGACAGAACATCATGCCAAGACATTATACTGTTAGAAGCGCCTTACCTCCAACACACAACAATGACATTTCTTATGAGCTGCTTTAATCCAGGGTCCAGCTACTTCACTAGTTCCCTAATTGGTAGAGATGATCTTTACAAAGCCCAGCCCAGGGATGGAGAGCAGCTGGGCTGGAGGTGGGTGAAACCAGGCGTCGCTGTTCACTAGCGGCAACGTTGCCCGGCTGGCTTCGTGACAGCTAGTAAAAAAAAAAACACATAAATCAAAATAAAAAAATAAAAACAGACGGTAGACACTTCCCTTCGCTCAGACGGAGAACGCCCTGTCCCTTTTCTCTTTTTGTGGCGTGTTTCGCCGCCTCTTTCCACCCCTCCCCGCTCTCTCTCAGCTCTCCAATCCCCAGCTAACAGCCATCTTGTTCAGCTTCAGCACCACCAGCTGCGCGGACAGCAGTGACGTCAAGGCGCGTGGCTTGTTTCATTACTCTTCAAAGGTTTTAATAGTAATAAAAAAAACTAACAATTATAATAAAATAAATAATAAAAATTGTAATAATGTAATAATAAAAATAAATTGTAAAAATTGTAATACATAATAAAAATGTATCAATAAATAAAATAATATTAATAGCAATAATTACATTTGTGACTTATATTTGTATTTGGAGCGCTCTGATCTGATATAATGAGCTGTATGTGATGTAATCACATTTAACCAACCTCTGTTCTAAGAAGTCCACAGATTTTTCTTGAGGAATTTTGATGCAAGATCATCCAGGGACGCCCTAAACTGACCAGATAAGGCATGGGTGTCCTAATTTTGTGTGGTTAAGCAAAGCAATAGCCACAGAAGTCAATAGGCCCCTTGGTAAGCTTGGAGGGGGTGCATATATTTAAACCTCAGGTGCTAATAATGTTTCCAGGTAAACCAGAAGACATTTAATAATGCAACTACAATTAAGACAAAACTTGGCAGATATTTGCTCTATATGTGACAACCCCAAATGAGTCCTCAGGATTATAGAAACTTTTTAAGTAGACCTTCACAAAAGGAGAAAAGGAAATGAGCTGCTTGGTGGAGGTCTGAGCTCTGACTTCTTTTTAGTTCTGCAAAAACTTATTCGATAAAACATAAATGTTTACTTTTTCTTGGCATTAAACCTTGAGTTTAAATTTTTGCTGGTAAACATTTCATACAAAACTTTCAAAGAACACATTAAATGATGCTTTGTTGAATTTGTATTTATTGGAAAACATACCCGTTTATTCTGAGTCTAAAAGTTAAAGTCTGAACCTTGTCAAGCAACCCGTCTTTAAACCCCCACAGCAAGCAGAGCAGAAGCAGAGACGCTAAAAGAAATCCCATAAAACGTTCAACAGCTCCCCCTGCTTGTGATCATGGAAATTACAAGACATGTTTTCTCATGCCACCAAAATGACATTGCAACTCTGTGGTAGAAGTTGTTCAGAAATGTGATTCAAGTTTTGTCTGTACATTTCAAGCATGTCTATACTGACATGAAAACAATGATTTAATGGACATCTTAAAAAAAAAAAATACAAAAACAATGCATAAACATATGTTATGACGACATTAGAAACAGCATGTTCGTCCTACAACCTGACAATGCTGAAAATCCACAATTTCATACCCCAGCATTTACGATTTTGCCCTGCTGCTGTTTCCCCATGAGCAATGCATCCAGAGCAGAATACAAATACTTATATACATACTGTATTGAATCTGCAACCAACCTGTGAACAACTGCTATAAACAATGTAAAAAAACACAATTAGAGTCATCCTTTTTTTTTGTCCAGTTAGTGTGGTACAAAAAAAGAATAGACTTGGTCAAAATACCTACATGCTTCCTCTGATTCACATTCAGATTAAACATGTTCAGAAGCACATGTCATACAGAATACATGTATCTATAAACAACAGACAAGTTGACATGGACCATATGTGTTTTTCATAAGAATTTGAACAAGTTCCTTTGCAGATGTGATCACACCCAAATTTTCTGTTGATTCGAACAGTCGTTTGTCCAGATGAGGCACAGCTGCATGGCCATCCGACACTCCTCATAATTTCTCGCTGACAAGGAACAGAGATGAAAATGTGACAGAAAACTAGAGATAGTATCTGAGGCATAAAAAGTGATGTAGGAATGAATTTCTTTCTGTTCTGTTTTCAAACTACATGCCAGGAAACCCAACTATAGAAGGTTTGGATTCTCAAATATTAAACAGGAGTTTGATGGAAACCACCTAACAGCCATTTGTATGTCGTTTTTATTGTTGTTGTTTTTTTTTTTACATATATAAAATGAAATTACTACAATGCAAAACATAAAAGACTAAGAAATTAATCTGCTTATTAAAGATACAATATTTAAAATTCTAGCAAATGTTTTTGCTTTTTTAATGTTCTGACTTAAGTTGGTTAGACATAAAAGTCTTCCTAAAGGGAAACACAAAGATAAACTGGATTATAATAGATGTTTAGTAAAGCACAAGTTTCCATTTTTTATATTTCTACTGCATCAAACTATAAAGTAATCTTTACCTGTCCAGATGAGAAAAGACCTCATGAAGTTGGCTGAGGAGAGCGCGGTGTTTCTGAGGATTTCCCTCCAGGACCCCACTGAGTCGACTCAGGTATGAGTCAAGATTACCAAGAGATGCTGTCTCCCCTGTACCTGTTGAGGCATCAAAATACCAAATAAACATTTTGTTTAAACATATATTTTAAACTCTAATAAGACATAACACAACTTTGTAGGTTTGTTTAAACTGAAAATAAAAAAAAATACGTCTATCTAAAATGTCCATCATCTCCTCCCCATGTGGCTGACATACAGCTTCTGACCTGGCAGAGGGACTGTGGACAGGCTGCTGACCAGCGTGTGTTTAATGGCCAGCAGGTGTGAGTGAAGAGCCTGGGTACGCTTTTCATCCTGCCCCAATTCAGCCTCCAGACGTTCTTTAGCGCTGTTCATGTCATTGATGTGGCGCTGCAGCATAGCGTTCTGCTCTTCAAACTCAATGTTTGCCTTCCGAAGTCGGCGCAACTCGGCCTCTCGAGCTAAAAAAAAAAAAAAAAAGATGACTTAAGTTTCAGCAGGACAAACCCTTAACTTTTATGCATTTTAAGAATTAGTTGGTATTTTTCTAAATTCAACAGTTTCTTCATTGGACAGTTATCTTGTTTGAGTGTCTGTTACCTTTATTCTGATCGAGGAACTCTTCGGTGAAAATAGGAATGTCAAATCTGGTTGAGAGCTCAGGAGCCTAAAACAGACATAAAAAAAAAACAGAATGATAACTTAGATTTTGATGTAAGAAATAAATAAAATAAACCTTGTAAGGTCGCCTACCTTCATTAAAGACAATCCTGAACTTGTACTGACAACAACCGGCAGACTGTCTTCTGAAACAAGAAATTAAAACTGTAGATGCTTTTTTTTCTCCATGGCACAAATCAACATTACTAGACTTCATGTATAAGAGGTCAGCTTTACCCTTTTTAATCTTCTTGTCATGTATCTTGGCACTGGTGATGTGGTACGCCTCAGTCTGTTGATACTCCTTTAGTTCTTGGGCATATTGCACCTTCTCTCGCTCCGCCTCATCAAGATAGCGCTGTCAGTAATCACACAATGTTGAGCTGTTATAATAAAAAGCAACTAAACTGCTCTCATGGAATTTATTATAAAAGGTATTGTGGAGGATTCTTTAAAAGACCCCGCTACCCACTTAAAAAACATGCTCATGCTATAGCGTTTAACATGTGCTGTTCTCATAGCTCATACAAGCTTACAGTGTCCACATACAGCGGACCATTCCACAGATGATCACTGCTTTTTACACCGTTGGTCATGTAATTCCTCCTCCACCACACGGTACCTCCACTATCTTTGTTAATAGTCACTGCTGTGACAGCAAATCCCATAAATATATCTGCCTCTTCTGAGGCCTTCCTTTTCTTCTCAGACACTTTTTCTCTTACGACCCTCTGCCATTTTCAAAGAACCGTGGTGGGAAAGGTGAGCTTCAATAACCATCTGAAACCGTAGCTCACCACAGTTATATGCCTGATTGTGCGCATGCAGGGCAAGCAGATAGGATGGTCTTACATAAACCTATCACCAGAACGATTGATAATTAGGAGGACCACTTATTTAGATGATCCACCCAGAAATAAAAGATCATCCTCTATACCTTTAATGTATAGTTTAAAGTAAAAAAATATATATATCAATAACATGAACCTGTTTGTCGTTTTGGGCTAATCGTGTCCACTCGGCTCCGAGTCTCTTTGTGATTTCTGGAAAAGGTAAATCCGGGTATCGGGCTCTCATAACTTCTCGTCGTTCATTCAGGAAGCGAACGTATCCTGTTACTGGAGCCTTCGGACCATTAGGGAGAACCTTCTTTCTTTTCTTTCCTTTTGGCCAACCTCGCTTCTTTGGCTGCAGAGAAAAAAAAAACGCCTTTGTTTTAAAATTTGTACCTACAGAACAACAACAAAAGATTTATTTTACATGCATTGTTTAATTGATTTGTTCCGCCACAATAATTTTGATAGGACAATCATGAAAAAAACAAATCACAATAATATATTAAAAGTATCTGCATAAAAACATTTAGTTCTTATAATATTCACACACACTGTTATCTAACCTGAGGTTTATTTCCCCTCTAATAATGAACTCTAATTGCTCTGAAACTACTAGAAAAGAGCTTGTTTACTCCTTAAACAAAATGTACAAATATGTTTCCTCAATGAGGAAGAAATTAAGCTTGTAAATAATATCAAGATTATGCATTTAAATTTGGCCCAGTGCTTTCCAGTTCTTAGTTCCTGTCGAATCTTGGAGAATTTTAATAGCTTGTTTTTTAACATATATTGTCACAGATTTTCCTCAGGAATCCTCTGATAAATGTTGGGATTGAAGGATACTATGGTAAAGACCTGATCCCATGACAATACAGAGGGACGGGAATGATGGAAGAAGAAATTTTTTAATTTTAATCACCTAAACATGATCAGGATCAGAACTCTCTCACAGGTTTGCAGCAAGTTACTTTATTTATGTGCATTATGGAGCTTGTTTGTGGGGACAATAAAGGATTTTAAACCTTCACCAGCCTGCTAAGCTGTTTGAATCTCCTTCCGATCGTATATATATATATATATATATATATATATTTATATTATTTGTTTTTTAGGTGTTTATTCTGACTAGAGCAGGACCAAAACAAATGTCAAAGGTTCATTCGAAAAGCTGAATAATGATTTCCTGATCATGTGATCTGACCTCAATAATCAACCTGATCTGGTATACCTTAGTGTAATTTCAGGCATTTACTACTTCAAATCAGCATAAACCTTTATGAATTTATATTGTATGGAACATTTCAGAAGTAAACAAACAAACAAAAAATCTGTGTTTTATGTATTATTTATACTACCTTTATACCAGAGTGTATCTTAATAGGAAGTATGTCCAAATAGGCAAGAAAAATAAAGATTAGCTAACAAACCAAAAGGACATGAAGAACTAGGTCTCTATTGCTTCAACAACCACAGGAATAGCTAACACCATGATATTTGTAATAGTTTCTGTATGGGTCCATATCTGCTGTTGTGTGTGTTTATTTTTTCCTCTTTCTGCAGCAGCAGCACCTACCTCCTCTTGTTGGTCCACTGGGTGTGAAGCTTTGGGCTGATGGGATGCATCACTCTGCTCTTGTTTAATTCCCCCCATCATCTTTCTATCTTTGCAATAAGAGAGAAGAACCAAGTCAAAGTGCTTCTGTGGAAAACGAGTATTATGTATAACATAAAGGAGGAAATCGTAAAAAAAAGACCAATAATTACCAATCAGGAAGAGCGCTTTAAAAGCTAACCCGTCTGCTAACAGTTCGTTATGGCTAACGTTAACTGGTCGGAGCCACACACGCACAAACGGGGGGGCGAAATTCACACAAAACAAAAAGCTAAAAGCAACAATTCTCCAACGGAGACAAACAATTTTGATTGGTGAAATAAAGACTGATAACGGAAAATAAAGAAAATGTTCTTTAAACGAATTTTCTCAATACTTTTTGAATAAGCGTTTATTTCTTTACCCAATAATACGTCCCTCTGCCAAACAGGAAGAGAAGTGTTATTGTTTCCCGATTGGTTGATATTGAGACTCATGATTGGCTGGTTGGTTCTAAGATCCACCCCCTCCGTCTGCATCAGGTTTTTGATTGGCTCACAGGGTATGATAAAGCAGGTTTAATAAGCATTCGTTTAACGCAGTATTACGCATGAGGAAACCGTGGAGAAAAAAGTTCTTAGAAAATAAAAATCGCCTCCAATAACTTTTGTAATAGGTCGGCCATTTTACGTTTAATATCAAATTGATGAGTGAGTTGATAAACAAAAAGCATAAGATGAAACCCATCAGTTATCCCAGACTGAATCATGGTTAAGATGTTCCATAGCTAAAATTAAACTCTAGCCTTGCAGATTTCCCATTTTTATTATCCCATTCTGAGTCAGAAGCTGTTAAAAAGCAGCTAGTTGATCCTTTGCTACACAAATGATAAAAGAATAGACATATTTGACGAAGTCATACAGTTTAAAGTTGATATGCAAAACAGTTTGAGTTGAATTGTCTTAATCCTGTGATTTTAGACCAAATCTGAATTCACAGCTTTTATAAAGACTATACAGGATGTCATTCATATGACAGGCTATTTAAACAGAGCTAAAAATCGATACAGGTGCTTTGTAAGTTTCAAGGCATATTTGCTTAAAATTACTTTAGAAAATAAAAGCCCAGATTCAAATCAGGTCAGAACCAGCAGAACCCTAGCTTTGGACTGTGGTAATGTGGGAGTTATTACACCTTCCTAAACAGGGGACCCCCCAGCAAAAGATTTTAAAAACCATTCCAATATTACATTCATTACCTTAATAAACCCAAACCCCATACTCACAAGAAAGCAAACAAAGGTTCAAGTTTTTATTTACTTTTATTAATCGTTTACAATTTTTGTGGTCATTTCTTTATTATGGTCGTTTTCTTTTGGCAAACATTGGTGCTCACTGTTCTGTACAGTTCGGTCCCACAAGATACTTTATTTGGTGGGTTGGAGGAATGAAACGAGAGCCGAGTGGGTGGGGGCCCAAGCCCTTACAATTTGTCCAGGTAGTTGTCCAATGCTGGGACGCCTTCTTTGAGACCCTTACGTTTGCGTGTCTCGAGGACAACAATACCAGGCTTGCTTGTGGGCTCCATTGGGTTTCCAGGGAGGATCTGCCAGTGGTCGAATACACACTGTGGGAAAGCCTGGCCACCAGTGTTGGAACGAAGGTCAGCTGTGAAGCCTAAAAACAGAAAATATTTCAATTTAAACATGCTGCAAGACTTCATTTGGCACAGGGCCCCAGAAAAATATTCAGAATTTGCTTTTCCTTTGACATCCCAGATTACTTTACCACCTCAGCTAACAATCACCTTTTCATTTACTTTATTGAACTGTACTCAGAAACTTACCGAATGACTCCATGACAGGCAGGTAGGCCTTGATGACGTACATAGGGGTTCCCATTACCCTGGACTCCTCGAACACATGACCACGTCTCCGGGTCAGCACACCGTAGATTCCACCCATTGCAGTTTCAGGGCACTTTAAGTGTTAAAGAAATATGTTAATTTAATACCAAGTGCTGAACGGCATTCAAACTGGCAGGTGTAAGAAGAAAAAAAAAAAAAGTTTTCTAGTGGATCTCACCTGGATCTCCACCAGGTACACGGGCTCCATGATTCTGGGGTCTGCTGTAAGCTCACAGGCATAGAGAGCTCTGCGGGCTGTGGGGATAATCTGACCACCTCCACGGTGAATTGCATCTGTGTGCAGGGTCACATCATGGATGTCGAAGCGAACTGCACGCATGTTCTCTTCACAGAGGACTCCCTACGAGAACAACATTTTTTAAATGTAGAACTGATGTGCTGTTGCCTCAGAATATTCTGACAGTAAAACATCTACTGGCCCTCACCTCCTTGGCTGCCCACTGGAAACCAGCCACCACGCTGTCCTTGATCTCATTAAGGTACTGCACTCCCTTGGTGACATCCACCAGGAGGTTGGGGCCATTTCCGTCGGGTCCGAAGCACCAGATTTTCCTGGCCTCACCGACATCCCATTCGTACTTGTCAGCAAGGTAACGGGCACGGGCCTTGAGCTCTTGGCGGGCGGTAACGTCACCCTTCTCGATGTCTTCTGCCAGGCCCTCTTCGAAGGGACGGGCCTTCATGAACAGCCGGTTGTGCTTGTTTGGTGACTTTGACAAACACATCACGCTGGATTCAGCGCTGACAGTTTCTCTGTAGGACACCACTGGATCAGATTTCTAAAAAGATGGGATAATTTCAGCATTTTTGTATCAGAAATGAGCCATGATACAATTTAATCTTTGAGTCTTAATTCCCTTTATTACCTTGATTGGAATGCAAGCATGATCCTCCTCCAAATCCTTCAGACAGATCTCCAGATGCAGCTCTCCAGCACCAGCAACAATGTGCTCTCCAGACTCCTCAATGATGCACTGCACCATAGGATCAGACTTGGACAGACGCTTCAGACCCTCCACCAGTTTCGGCAGGTCTGCAGGGTTTTTGGCCTCCACAGCAACTCTCACAACAGGACTCACACTGAACTTCATCACTCTCATGTTGTGCGCCTGCTCAAAGGTGGTGATTGTTCCGGTCTTGACGAGGTACTGGTCCACTCCAACCAGACCCACGATGTTACCACAAGGCACATCTTCAATGGGTTCGACATAACGGCCCATCATCAAAATGGTCCTAACAGAATGAGGAAAAAGGCATGACTCACACGAAAGCTTTCATGCATTATTGAATGGTGAATAATGACAGCATGTGATGCTAACCTCTGAATAGGCTTCAAGTAGAGATCATCCTTCTTTCCTGGAACAAAGTTTGGTCCCATGATGCGCACCTTGAGTCCAGTGGACACGCTGCCAGAGAAAACACGACCGAATGCATAGAAGCGACCCTTGTCGGTGGTGGGCACCATCTTAGAGATGTACATCATGAGTGGAGCCTTGGGGTCACAGTTCTTGATACCTGGGTGGCAAATAAAAAAAAATAATTAAAAAAAAAAAGAACTGAAGTAGCTGTATGGCATTAGGTACACTTGAAATAATGAATATGTAAAGTAGTCATTTCATGCTTTACCCATAGCAGCTTCATCATCTCCAGGCCCTTCATAGAGCAGCTCACAACGGTACTTCTGGGCAGTGACGGGAGATGGGAGGTGGATGGTGATCATCTGCAGGAGGGCCTCTCCAGCAGGCAACCAGCGCCTCATCACAGCCTTCAGGAGGGGCTTGCCTTCCTTGTCCTTGTCCTCAACATCCAACTTGATGTCCATCTTCTGGATCAGCTTTGCAGCCTCATCTTTCTTGAAGTTCATGATGGCATCAAACACCTAGGCACAGGGATTTGTTCATGTTAAACAAGTCAAAATTCTTAAGTCACAGCCATTGGTGCATGCTGCACCTGCTCAGGCTGAAATAAATCATCACTATTTATCAGGTCAAAGTGAAGAATAAAGTAGATCATCACTTGCAGGTATATATAAATATTAGGTGGCTGTATCTTGAACAAAAATAAAGGCAACCCCATTCACAAGTGTTTCCATTAAAATATGTATGATTACCTTAAAGATGGGGTCCAGGACCAGGGCACAGAAGGTGCGAGCAAACTTTTTGCCATCAGCACTAACGGCAGACTTGACAAACTTGCCATTTTCTGTGTCATAGTACCTGGAATGGACAGCGGTTTATTAGGAAAAGCCAGCCATCCATCTCTAGCAGGGAATAGTAGCACCATATTAAACTGACCTGTCACCCCACAGCTTTTTCATCATGTCCTCCACCTTCTTGCAGCGCTCTTGTGCAGTCATCTGGGTGTTGCCTTTAGCTGCGAACTTGGCTGCATACATCTCAGCAAACTGCTTCAGGGTGAAAGCCCAACCATGGAGACCAGAGCCAAAGCCAACGGTACCGATGACTGGATCAACCTAGAAGGTTCAAAGAAAACCAGGGTTTTTATTTTAATGCCAAGCTACTCAAACACTGATGTGTCTAGAGTGGTCCTTATAACATTACTGAAGTAGAATTTTCTGTCAAAATGATAAAAAAAAAAAAATCCTTACCATGATGTTTCCCATTGGTCCATTTTCATCCTCGCCATAGGTGGAAATGATCACATTGACTGACTCAACAATACGCTGGAAAGTCTGGTAAAGGTCCTCAGGTTCTAGCTGCAACTCCAGCAAGGCACGGTCCATCTTGTTCATCATCAGGACTGGCTTAATTCGCTCACAGATGGCCTGGCGAAGCACAGTCTCAGTCTGCACGCACACACCTGGAATAGATAGAGCAACACTTTAATTTTGAGTCTTAAAATATAACACAATTGTGGAAAAAAATGGGATTCACAGGAATCATTCATCAAACCCATCTTAACCTGAATTTGTGCAACACTGGGTAAGAAAATCACTTGATAGGCTCAACATAGTTGGAGTAAAATGATTACCAATGCAAACCTGATTCAGACCAGTTGTTTTGGGTAAATGGAGAAACAGAAAAGTCATGATAAAATGCTTCAGAATATTTAGACGACTAGATGTATAGGAAACCAAGAGCCCTAGCATTTTCCCGTTAAAATAGCCAGACCCTTTTATAGTGTTCACACTTCCCTCTTGCTACAATCTGAAAACAAAACACCATCTGTAAAACCTTTTCTTTTATTTCGCTGGCAGTCTTTGAATAACCCTTTAAAACAAGTTTTAAGTTTACATAACATGTATTTTGGGAAATGGCCCTTACCGGACACGCAGTCGACAACCACAAGGGCTCCATCAGTAACACGGAGCGCGGCAGTCACCTCAGAGGAGAAGTCGACGTGCCCAGGTGAGTCGATCAGATTGATCAAGAAACCAGAACCATCCCTGCTCTGCTTGATGAAAGCCAAGTCATTTTCACTCAGCTCGTAGTACATGGAGATGGCTCTGCAAATTAGAATAAATTGGGTAGAGTGGCAGTGAGAAAAAAACAACTTGCATCAT